GTACACTGTGTTCTCTCTATCCTTATCGTATCTATTCCTGCTCACTGCTGCTCCGTCTCTCTCCCGGGCACCAACCACTCCAGCTCCAATCCCAACCAAGACTCCCGTCTCTCCGTTACGCTGTGCCCTTTATCCCCGCACCAATCAGTCCCAATCAATTATCTCGTCCCCCGCTTTGCTACTCGCCCACAGGCCCCCAGCCTCCCGTGACCATGTTATTGCCGCCAGGCCGGCGCCAGTCATTAGCCACTCACCCTCCTGACCAATCACCGGCCTGCGTCCTCAGTCACCCCTAACACCTGTCGCGTCTCTTAACGACCCCCCCCCCTTAATGCCACGACAACAACAACCGTGTTCTCAGATGCTCCCACTGTACTCTGCTCGCTTGCCTAGCAACAGAACGCGTGGGGCGTGATATTTCAAGTCCTACACATACATAGGGGGTTTAATGAAACAAATTAGTTGTACTTACGTGCCCGTACTTAATTTGTTTTTCGATGATTTACCTTCAAAAAAATGGCCATGCCTCGCACCCCTAGAAAGATAATCTCACTCCTCCAAGGGGCGTGTGCACCCCAGGTTAAGAACCACTGTTCTAAGAACTGCACCGCCACTCCAATGTCTTGTATGTTATGGGTTCATGTGACACTTGCAGCCGCAAGAGGCCGCTATCATTTACTTCGGTGTAAAAAATATATATGTATAGTTGATCATCGATTATCCGGCTGCTTCCAACATCTGGCGGTCCCGGGCCGATCTGGCGAAACCACTCCAAAGGCTTGTAACCAGTCTGGCGATCGTCAAACTCATGAAGTTGTTGACACGAGTGCAGTCGTGCTACGTACATCACCGCATGCAGAGTCTGCGAGATTGGAGTGGTAAGAACGGTACAGTAACTTTTTACAGGATATTTGTGTATGTTTATACTCATTTTATATAAGCAAATAAAAAAAACATGCAACACCTAAAAACGTTATGCAAGAGTGCAACAATAAGCAAATGATAATAATAATGTGATTATCCGGCGTTTTTGAAAATCCGGTGCCCCTTCTCCCCGAAGCTGCCGGATAATCGATTTGCTTTTAGCTTCAATCGAATTGTCACCCTGAATCCTGACAGTTCGTTGGCAGGAATGAATTGTTACGCCTCCAGTGAGAGTTGTTTCCATGTAGCAGTCCACCGATGTGTCAAATATATTCTTACGTGCAACAAACACGCATAAATCACACAAAAATCATATTCTGATAGGTGTGCACATTGGGTTCGTGTAAATGTTGCAGCCACAATGGCGAATATAATGGAGCACGTGTCTCTTAAGTGACCTCTTCGTAGAATTCTTATTTCACCGTTACCAAGAGAAACACATTTTGTGACGCTGCTGCGTTGGTGCACAAGCTCCCACGGTGGCTCGGAGATGTTAACTACCTCGCCTGATATACAGGAGGTTGTGGGTTCTATCGCGACCTTGACGCCTGCTGTATATTTTGAGTTTGCATGTCTCCCCGTGGTCGCGTGGATTTTCCTCCAGGTTTTCCCCTCCACATTTAGAATCAACGTCACGCGTTTAGAGTATTTGGCTGCTGCTGCTGTTTTACATTTACACGTGACGATGATGAGCCACTTCGTTGAGCTATCATGTGACCAGGCCGCTTCTGAAAAAGCTGCACAGCTCAGTTTAATTTATTAGGTATAGCCCTGTGAGCCATGAGGCTCTTGACTCAGGTGCAACTGCAACAAACAAAACATGAACAAAGAACATCTTAAAGTGACGACGCGCAACAGAAACATCCAGGAAAAACCAGTAGAATTTTCTAGAAAAAAGCACCTTATATCAACGCTGTGTGCAAAAATCCCAATGGGATGCAAGTCTAGCAATAACAGCCATAAGACAATTTAGATAAAGTCATCAGGCTAACAACAAACATGGCTTAACCATACGTTTTCGAAATCACCAAAATAAGCTATAAAAACAATGTAACAGTCATCATAGTAACTGTGATTCAAATTTAACAATAAACGATATACATGACATGTACGACCAAACTTTGCAGCCACAGCTGGCAGCATGAGTCACTCCATAACAGCAGGAGCATCAACATTTTTCAATACACCTTTCAAGTTCAGCACACTATAATCGAAACTCAAGATACTTTGCAGCAGACATCCGGAGCGGTGCATTTGATTTCAGGCCACTGCATAGCAGTGGCAGCGGTGGGGTGTACAGCTCCTCAAGAGCAGTTTTGAGTGCAGATCTCATAGGTAGTGATCCAAGTTGCAGTTTATTGGCGATAGCATTCCAGACCCTGGGGGCATCAACAGCAAAGGACCTTCCTCCAGTATTTATTTGTACGCCAATAGGGAATGTGAAGCTGGTAAATGAGCGAAGACCTTAGGTCACATTTGTTAATCGAAACAGTGAGGAGATCCAGCAGGTAGTCTGCTGATTTTCTTGTAAGTACATCATGAATAAATAAGATCTGATGCACAAATCGTCGATCATTAAGATATGTTAAGTTTGACCCAATGTAGAGATCGCAGTGGTGGGTCATATATGGGCAGTTCAATGCAAATCTTAAGGCCGAGTGATAAATTGGGTCAAGCTTCTTCAGTACAGTACTGGGGGGCTGATTTATATACGATGTAACAGTAATCAAGTAGAGGAAGTATACTCTTTAGTTCTTTCGGTAAAGTCACGTAGGTATAAAATAAATTAAATAATTGATTTTGATTTAGGTATAAAATAAATAATTGATTTTGATTTAATTTATTTTATACCTACGTGACTACCGAAAGAACCATAGAGTATGGTTCCCTGCAGTCACGAAAACTTCAAATCTAGAGGAAGTATGGTAGCTTTTATCAATTCCAAACGGAACATAGGGGGGGAGCAATGCTTGTGTCGATACAGAAACCCATTTTTTTAATTTTGTCTTTTTACCAATATAAACACATTCCTGCGGAGGGAGCTGGTAGGAACGTTGGGTTGCTCGGTCAATGGCCAGGGTCAACCGCGGCGTGGTGTATTCTGCAAATATTCATGACTGTGAGGGCGGGCACAAGCCGGCGTGAGTAGGTTAAACGTTGAGTTTTATAAGGGCACCACGGGGTGACCAGCCCCTCCCCACCCATCCCTACCCAGCCCCACCCCTCCCACCCCCCACCCAGCCCCACCCAGCCCCTCCCCAACCAGCCCCTCCCCACCCAGCCCCTCCGCACCCTCCCAACTCCACCCAGCCCCACCCCTCCCATTTTTGAATGCAGTATCAATGTGATCTTGAAAAATCAGTTTTGAATCAAAGATGACCCCAAGATACTTATAGAGCTTGACTTGCTCTATTTGATAATTATTTAAGGAATGTAATTGGGGAAAAATAACTTCCTGCTTTTGTCCTGGTGAGAAGCATAGCACCTTGGTTTTGGAGTGATTCAGGACTAGTTTAAGAGCAACTAGCTGATGTTGTAGTTTGTTGAAATCACCCTAGAGCTTAGCAATCACGTCATCCGGAGAGCGGCCAGCAGTAATCAGTATGGTGTCATCTGCAAACAGATTTACCCTGGAATGATCCAGGTCAGTGCCCAAGTCATTGACATAAAGAGAGAACAAGAGGGGGCCGAGGATGGAACCCTGTGGAACCCCTTTTGTTATCTTAACACTGTTTGACCTCCAACCATCTATGAATACAGTTTGGGTACGAGAAGAGAGGTAATATTTGTATCATTCCACTGCGTGTTTGGAGAAACGGAGGCAACTTAGTTTACTAAGCAGGGTGTTGTGGTCGACTATCAAAGGCTTTGGGCTTTGGACAAGTCAAGAAAAAGACTGGCGCAGTACTGCTTATTATCAAGGCTACTGTAAATGTGATTCAGAGAGTCTAATGCAGCAGATGTGGTGCTGTATTTTTTTCGGAACACAGATTGGTTTCGATGTAAGAGATTGTTATCGGACAGGAAACTGCTCATTTGGTAGGTCAATTATTTTTCAAACATTTTCATCAACGGGGACAAAATTTAGATCATGCTTATTATCAAGGCTATGTAGGAAATTTAAATAGGTCGGTAGTTATTTGAAGTGGGTGAACATAGGAATGTTTCCTTTCTAGAGGTACCGATTCTTCTTTAATGGACAGGTTGAAAATATGGGATATAGGTTTGTATATTAGGTGACCAACAGTTCGCAGAGCAAAGATGGGAATACTATCCGCTCTTGTAAAGGAGGACCCTTTGAGGTAGGACAGTTGTTTCAGAACATTACTTTCGTGGATAGGCTGGAAACTACATTTTTTATGTTTGGACAGGGGTGTAGGAAATTGCATGAGCAGAGGTGACTGCCAATACATTATTATTATCAAAAAGGTCACCAGCTTCAGAAAAATGAAGGTTAAAATTGTCGACTATTTTTGGGGGCTTTGAAAAAGTCCCCATTTCGGTTAAGCGCAATGGGAAGATTATCTGTGTTAGATGCCTTTTCGATACATTTTACTGTTTTCCAGAAGAACTTGGCGTTGCCATGTGATTCCAGGAGAGTGGAGGAAAAGTAAGCATTTTTTGCATGCCGTATTTTTTTGACACATCTATTCCTTAAAATCCTGTACTCTAGCCAGTCACTGACCAAATTACTTTTATGAGTACATGCCCAAGCATTGTCCCTAGTTTTCATGAGCTTAGTAATCAAAGGATCAAACCATGGCGGGCGGTTGCCTTTAGATTTAAATCTAACCAACGGAGCATGTTTGTCAAGAATTTGGAGAAACGTGTACCTGAGTGGGCCTTACCTGGTAAAATAAAAGTTTAGTTTAGTAAAAAAAACATTTCAACACATTCGTCAACAACAACACTGCAGCCTTTAAATGACCAATATATAAATAGCTGACGTTTTGGGTAATTGCCCTTCTTCAGGGGGAGCCCAATCCCGACCTATGACGACACACACCCGCGCGATGACGTCACCTTGCTCAGCTGAACGTGACAACACGCTAATCGTGGTATATGACGTCACTACGTTGTGAGGGAACGTCTCCCCGTCAAGAGCCGACGTCATCGCGCCGGTGGTGATGACGTCACCGGACGGGGGACGGCCGTGTCATGGCGGAGGTGATCAGCGCGGAGTGGGTGGTGGTGGTTGTTGTTAGTGGTGGTAGTGGTGGTTGTTGATGTTCGTGGTGGAAGTGGTGATGTTATTTAGTGGTGATGTTGGTGGTGATGGTGTTTGTTGGTGTTCGTGGTGATGTTGGTTAGTGGTGATGGTGGTGGTGATGTTGGTGGTAGTGATGATGGCGGAGGTGGTGATGGCGGTGGTGGTGATGTTGGTGGTAGTTTGTTGTTGGTTAGTGGTGATGGTGGTGGTGGTGATGTTGGTGGTAGTGGTGATGGCGGTGGTGATGTTGGTGATGATAATATTGGTAGTGATGGTGATGATGTTCCTGGTAGTGATGGTGGCAGTGGTGATGTTGGTGATGATAATGTTGGTAGTGTTGGTGATGATAATGTTGGTAGTAATGGTGGCAGTGGTGATGTTGGTGATGATAATGTTGGTAGTAATGGTGATGTTGGTGATGATAATGTTGGTAGTGATGGTGATGTTGGTGATGATAATGTTGGTAGTGATCGTGGCAGTGGTGATGTTGGTGATGTTAATGTTGGTAGTGATGGTGATGTTGGTGATGATAATGTTGGTAGTGATGGTGGCAGTGGTGATGTTGGTGATGATAATGTTGGTAGTGATGGTGGTGATGTTGCTGGTGATGTTGGCGACGCGAGGTCGATTCCCGCTCACGGCCACCAACACCACCAGTGACAATTATCTGAACCGGTCCTGGGTCTCCCCTAGGTCGACTCGGCCTCAAAACAGTACCCGGCTGTGGTGTGGAGTAAACATCGCCGCTAGGGAGGCAAAGGCGGCCGGGCGTGGTGCAAGCCACCCACCCCCTCGTGTGACAGCCGTCATAGGTGCTCCTCGCTAGCAGCACTTACCCCACCAGTCTGTTACAGGCTACACGGGGGATATTTGTCTGATGGGAGCGGCACTACCGTACAGTACAAACAGCAGTGGTTAGACCGCACTACGCTGTCCGAGTTAAATTCTCGCTCATAAATAAATAAATTACATTTGACATTGTCGTCGAACATATAGGTTGGGCCTCCCCCCAGGTGAACTCAACCTCAAACGAGTATCTCGTAAATATCAGCGCTGGGGAGACAAAGGCGGCCTGGTGTGGTTCTGCCCACACCACCCCCTCACAGGCGCACAGCGCTGGGACAAGCAGTCCACCCCAGGCTGTACGGGTGGCTCTGTGGTCACGACGTTCAGTAACGCGAACAATTCCACGGGTGCAAATGATTCCCGCTCACGGCCACGAACACCGGTGACGATTATCTCAACCGGTCATGGGCCTACCTAGGTAGACTCGGCCTTAAATGAGTACGAGAGAGGGTGGAGGGAGAGACGCGGGGCCTTCCAGGGTGTCTCTTGAGAGAGTCGGTGGAGATGGAATAGCGGCTCTGTGTGCAGCGGTGAGAGGAGGATGGAAGGCCACGTTCCAAACTAAACTTTTTTTATTTTTAAATCCTTTATATTAAGTTCACTTGCTTGCTTGCTTAGGACCGTGCAAATCTTTCGGTCGTTTTTTAACCCACTTCCCGTGATCCAATCGAGCTGATATTTTCCACACAGACTCGTTGTGCGTGACAATTAATGTTCCTGAAAATTTTTTTCCTAAATTGTACACTTTTTAGGACAAAAATATTATATTTAATTACCAATTGCTTAATGCTGCCATGCAATCATCTGACCCATAGGGGGCAGCCATCTCAAGCCAGAGGACGAGATGACTCTAGCCGCCACGCATATAAAGGATTTATAGTGAAAAACTTTGTTTTTACGGGTTATACTTGTACCAGGTAAGGCCCACGCTGGGCTATATAAGCGCTTTTTTCAGAAGTGATCTGGCTATCACAAATGATCGCCCAACAAAGTGGCTTCTTCAGGTGACAATTGCCCATTTCTACCTAAACTATATTTAAAAACTTATTTTACGAGGTAAGGCCAACTGAGCTATATAGCTCTTTTATCAGAAGAAACCTGACGACAATTATAGCTCAATTGAAGTGACTTATCACGTGGAAATTTATAGCAGCTAATTAATCTAAATGTGTGACGATTCTAAATGTGGACCAGGAGAAAAATCCAGGCAACCACGGGGAAAGAGACCCTGTAAACTAAAAAAATATATAGCAGGCGTTAGGGTTGGGATCAAACCCATTACCTCCTGCATACCAGGCGAAGTAGTTAACATCTCAAACGGAGGGTGCTGTCACGGGGAAACGATACCAGGCAGTGCCGGACCTGGTCTCTTGTGTAGCGAGGAGGAGGTTGTGAGACGCGCTGCTGCTGCTGTGGAGAGTTCCCCTGTAGACCGCGGCAAGGTAACGGTAAAAGGTAAAAACAACGAGCCGACCTTTACCCTACCTTTTACCTTACCACAATACAATCACTCTACCCTTACCCTTTAGCAAGGTAAGGTAAAAGGTAAAAGTTCAAAAGCAACGAGCCTACCTTGACCCTACCTTTTACCCTTACCCCATACAAATTACCCGATTACAGGATTATTACTGGGGTACTACACATGAAAAAGGTTTATAACAGGTAAATGCTAGGTAGAGCGCTTTATTCATATAGAATACTCTCGAATCGGGTGTTGAGGCTGTCGTTGACAGCCTCCTCCATAACCTCCTCATCCCAGTTGTCTTGGTCGATGACGATCTCATCAACAACCTGATCAAGTTCATTGCCGTCGTCCTCGGACGAACGATGGGCAATAAGATCCTGCGCCGCTCCGGCCCAGTTAGACGGGGACCTTCAGGCAGTCGGCCGCGATCCACGAGCGCAAGCACATGGACTGGATGAAGAGCGTCGACGACAGTGACTGGCGAACAAATGTGAACTCCCGCCCGGCTCCGCTATTCGCGCGTTCGCAGGGAGTTGACGTCACCGGCGCTACCAAGTAATCGCAGGCCATCTTGGAGTGGGCAGGGAGCAGCTCTTTGCGGAGAGACCACCACTGCATTATGTCAATGAAGGCGCTGTCGGTCGTGACGCCCATGCTCAGAAAACGATCAACTTCGTCGTAGATGGAGCTGCCGACTGCTGTCGGCGGGATCGCGAGCACGTCCGAGTAGCGATGCTGCAGGACAGAGCAGATCGTGGCCTTCAGTGTAGCTAGCTCGTCTTGGTCTGTCGTTTTCGGCAGCTGTGGATCAAGTAGGATGCCACAATGGCGGGTTCCTGAACCAGTAGGTGGCGGTATCGCACCAGCTCGGCCTTCATCCCCGTCGCGGTCAAGGGCTCATCGATCGCTCTAAGAGCGGCTTCACCACGATCGCAATGACGGATCAGGTGCTCCATCGTCACCGGCACGAAATCCAATGTCGACTTGCGGTCCGCCGCCAACGAGGTCATGACCTGGCGCAGCATTCGCAGGAATGCTGTCACGCCCGCGATGTTTGCCCACTGCCGTTCAGAGAAAGCACCGACACCGATCACATCCTGGAAGCGCGCCATGATAATGTCCAATGGAACACGCTTTTTGATGGCGTCGCCCATGTCAAACGTCGAATGCCACCTGGTTGACGAGTCCTGCTACATCGGCTCCTTGCTACCGAGCTTGGCGATCTCGACCTCACAGCGGTACGACTGCCGGACAACCTTGCTGCGCCTGATATTGACGAGCGCCTTGCTCAGTTCGGCGTTGGTCGACTTTATCAGTTTGAGAACTTGGACGACGCCGATCTTGACCGAATGATCCACGCAGCGAATATGGTGGCAAGCCCGCAACTGCTCATATCTGGCGTTCGCGTTGACCAGGGCGAACAACGTCTTGACAGCACTTATCGCATCAGAGCCATTGTCGCTGGTGACAGCGAGCAGCTTGGTCGAGACATTGTGCCCGAGGCTTTGGAGGTGCTCAAACAGAGTGGTGCCAATGTGCTTGCCGACACCCCTTCCGGACTGCACATCGAGGATCGTCAGCAGCATGGATTTTGACGCACCAGATTTGGTGTCGATCCAGTGTACCGTGACCATCAAAAATCCCTTCCGGTTGAGGTTCGACCACCCGTCGATGGTGAGCGAGATGGCAACGTCCAGGTTGGAGTAGAACGCCCCGACGATGGGCAGCATGATGGCGTGATGCTCGACAATCCTGCGAATAATAGTGCGGTCGACGGGCCCTCATATCCCTGCGTCAATGTGTGGACCAAGGTCTTGAACATGTCGCTGCCGGTGGCTCACAAAGAGATTGCACCTTGGATAACAAAATTAACCACCACCTTCTCAAACTTTACCAGGAGGCGATCCGGGATTGCTGGCTGGCTCAGCGTTTGCTCAATTAGGCAGCTCGCCGACGCAGACGTCCCGACCTTGCTGCCTGGGGCGAGCACGTTGTGCTTCTTGAGGTGGGCTTTCCACCCCGACGCGTTCGTGTGGGAGGAAAACCACTTGCGGCAGTACACGCACTGCCGCTTTCCTTGCTGCACACGGGGATTAGCCTCCTTCCAATCGTGCGTGTGCTCCCACGGGAACGCATGCCGCTGCCCCTTTCGATTGCTGTTCGCAGCGACCCCGAAAATGCCGTTGCTGGCATCCTCGACCTCATCCTCTCCCTCAAGAACGTGGTCCGTCTCCAACTGGTCCGACATCAATGATTACAATTTAAAATGGAGGCCACGCACTGCGCCACAGAGCTTTTAGCGAGCCGTAAACAGGGTATTTACCGGTTAAAACTTCGTGCTACCTTTACCCTACCGGGTAATTCTTCCGCGCTACCTTTACCCTACCCTAGACCTTACCCTTTAGCTTGGTCGACACCTTTACCCTTTTTCCCCGGTAAAAAGGGTAAATTACCTTACCTTGCCGAGGCCTATTCCACTGTGATGAGAGTAGGAAAGTACGGAAGGCGATCGAGAGTCAGACCTGCAAAATCGCCCAGGCAGAGATAATCTTCCCAAGGAAATTGCCGAGGGTGGCGCTTGTGTGCAGACTGCCCAATATTACATCAGTACAACAGGCTGGACCACTGGACATGTTCCGCAGGATTGGAAGGCTACTCTGGTGGAGTCAGTCGCCCTCCCAACAACAGTAGAGGAGCGACGCTCACAACAAAGAGCAGAGCGCCGGACGGCTAAAACACAGCAAGTTGGCACAGTAGGGGGCACAGCTGGTGCATCTGCCAGACATCTCAATCAGCCCCTGGCACCTGAGTCTGTCCAGTGACCTCCTGTCAGCGAACCTTTGACAATTCACATGGCCTCAAAGTGCACTTGGCCTGGCACAAGCCCTGTGGTGACGTCACCACCACTTAGTGGCGAATGGCGGTTGGTGGTGGTGTTAATGATGGCGGTGATTAAAAGCTATCCAAGCTTCTAGGTTCAGCAGTGATTAATGGTGATCTAAGTTGGTGGTGGTAGTAAAGTATCTGTGGGTTGGGCAGCTAAACGTCTATTCGTGCTCGTGTTTCAAATTCAGTACGATGCATGGGAGTGTAACGTGTGCGTGTCGGTGTGTGATGAGTGCAGGCACACAGTTTGGATGACCTTTCGCGCCAGGCCTTCCTTCTCACCAAAGTGTACGTGCAGCGCGACTACTCGGAGGGAACCTCCTGCCGATTCCAGATCAAGTTCCTGCCTGAGCTGGAGCCCCGGGTGACTACGCTGCTCCCCCCTCCCTCCCCCGTAACGTGCGCCCTGGTTAGAGTGCAGCCTGCTGCAGGCACCACGACTGTCGCGTGGGTTAGCCGAGGAGGAACACTCGCGCTCGTATGCACGGCAAGCTTTGCTACGGCAAGCTTTGCTACGGAATGCGCTTGTCTTCGACGGTATTCGGGTTAGGTTACCGAAATGAGGAAAATTGTGGCAGAATGTGAAAAGACCATTGCCCAAATGATTGGTGAGCTCTTTGTATAGGTTGTTCTCCCCCGCACCTCCGATTAGCACGGTTTGCTATGTACCGTGCAAAAGAGGTTCAATGTACATACATAAACTCACACAGAGACCAATAGACTCAGACCCATAGACTCACCACACAGAGACCCAAGCCGCACGACGAAATGGCGTGTAACGTGAAACTACCTGACGTGTAATGATTACATCATCCACAATAGGAGGAGCGCACTTCCTTTTAGTGCTACATTTATTAATCATTTAGTGCTGGTCTTCGTCCCAAATTACTGAAACTTCATATGTCGAATATTTGCATATTGCGGTGTTGCTCTACTCAAGCTAGAGCTGGGACAATCAGGAACTTACATGACTGTGGTTTTAGCAGACGATTACTCGGCCCCTTAGAGATGGTGGCCCCGTACCCCTCCCCCACAGCCACGCTCAGCGCGACAGGGCCGCCAAAGCCGACGACGCCCCCCCCCCCTACCTCCTGTCCAGCGACACACGTGTGAAACACCTCACTCAATTAGTTGACAAATCAAAGCGATAATCGTAAGAGGAATTGATAATTAAATAATCGTGTAGCCCTGCCCTCTTGTCATTTTTCTTAACAGTGTAAGAAGTAAATCATTTTACTTTGGTTTTTTCTTTAATGGTTCAGTCAAGTTTGTTGGGTTGTATGTATTTTTGTTAGTGTCAAATGGCTAATGAGTCACCTGATACGAAATGAGGGACAGGCTTACGTTTAGATAACACAAGGCAGTCATCAGCGTCGTTGTGGAGAACATAAGATACAAAATAAATAATCAGACACTTCACCTCCTCCTGTCGCTCCACAAAGCCAAAGTCTCTCTGGGCTTCTCTGCTGCTGCTACCTCCGCCACCATTCTTGACCGAGTGTGTGCTTTGCGATGTGCGAGCAGATCGAGAAGAACCTGTTTGAGGACACCGTGCGGACCTTCAACAAGCTCTACACGGAGGCAGAGAAGATTGGAGCGCACTCGTATGTGGAGAGCTGCCTGGGCTGCCTCACGGGATACACTCTCTTCATGTGCATGGAGACGCGCTACGAGAAGGTGCCGCTCCCTCGCCAGCAGCGCAAGTTCCTCGCCATAACTGTGCCATTGCAGAGCTTTGTGGTTCCAATCCAGCAGCCGCCCTCATTTTTACCGTGGGTGTAGGTGACCATGTAAATACAGTAGTCCCTCGGTTAACGTTTTTAATCCGTTCCACGAAAACTGCAGTGAACCGAAATAACTGTTAATCGAATTCACTTATAAGTTGAAAAATAAGTAAAAATCACCGAGTCTGCAAGAGAGTTGTTTCCACTGCCAAAACAGAAAGTGTGATGTAAACAAAGCCAGTCGAGGTCTAAACGGCTCATAAATCGGCATCGCTGATTGGCTGAGGGCACGGCTCAGCCCCACTTACCAGCACTCGGATTGGCCGAAATTGGCGCCCGCGTGCATAACGTGAACATACCATTCATCAAAATGTGGGAGGCGAAACGTTAATCGAAGAACCGTTAACCAATGTCACTGTTGACCAAGGGACTACTGTACCACATGTCATTTGCAACGGTAGGTCATTGTGAGCGGTCATCGGGGTCCAAATTTGCCAAATTCAAAAATTATTAGCAAATTCCTCAGTTTGGATTGCACGTAACAACCTACATATGTATGTGGAACTTCTTTCGCACCGTACGTAGCCAACCATGCAAATCAGAGGTGCGGAAATCAATCATCATCACCTGCAAATCCCACCAGGTCACTCTTGCAACTGAGACGATCCTGGTCTCTTGAGTTCTCACCCAGTTAAAATAAACAAGTCTCAAGCGTTGCATGCGAGTGTAGTGGTGGTATTGACGTGCGCCGGCAGTGATGGATCACGGGGCGCGGGGTTGGGCACGCGGTGTGGGCGTGGCATGGACGCGCGCGCCGGTGGTGAGGCGCGCTCACACAAGCTGGGAAAAGAGGATCGTAGCGAGTGCGCAGTGATTGGTCAGATAAGTGGGTACTCTCAGCGACGTCCGCAGGAGGGGTATAAAGGGGGACGCGCGAGAGCACTCGTGGTCAGTGTTAACCAGTTGAAGACCGAAGACGGGGTGGAGGAGGTAGGGGCCCTGTGTGGCTCGGAGCCGAGACTGGGGGGACCGTAGTCCGACGCCCGTGTGGGTCGGGACGGTGGTACCCAGAGCCGAGACGGGCACCCCGGCTGGGTGTGTCCCGGAAGGCTACGGGGCGTAAGAGCCCGTGTCAGTACAGCTGAGTGGGTGTTGGTCACCCGTGTAGCTGAGTGGGTGTTAGTCACCCGTGTAGCTAAGTGGGTGTTGGTCACCCGTGTAACGAAGTTGTAGCTGAGTGGGTGTCCGTCACCCGTGTAGCTAAGTGGGTGTTGGTCACCCGTGTAACGAAGTTGTAGCTGAGTGGGTGTCCGTCACCCGTGTAGCTAAGTGGGTGTTGGTCACCCGTGTAACGAAGTGTAGCTGAGTGGGTGTCCGTCACCCGTGTAGCTAAGTGGGTGTTGGTCACCCGTGTAACGAAGTAGGGTGTTAGTCATCCGTGTAACTACAAGTTGGTGGAAATAAAGAGTGTGCTACCCGTGAAGTCGTCTCCTGCCGAGTTACTACTTTACAACTGGCGTCAGAAGTAAACCTGTCTTCAAGGAGGATGGACACAAGGAAGACTTCTCGTTCCCACGTGCAAGACCGGGGAGACGACGACGTACTGGTGACACCACCCTCGGGAGGAGAGGACGAGGAGTTGCCGCCGATGCAGCACTTCGCGGAAATGGCCGATGCTCCGCCCGCCTCCGACACCAGCCTGCAGGACGCACACTCCCGCCTGGCGGAGTTGCTGCTCGCCGCCGCTGCGATCTTGGCGGAGATCTCCGTTCCAGCGGCCGGTGGAACGCCTGCGGGGTTGGAAGAGGCGGCGCGGCTGGAGGGTTCCCGCCATAAGGCGTTTCGCGCCAAAAGTTTGGGAGTTGGCGCCATTTTTGAGGGTCCGCCTCCGGTTGGCGGGAAACGCGGACACCACGTGGCCAGAGGTCTCCACACAGCGCAGCCCGCGTCATCGGCGAGCGCCGGAGCTCTCCATTTTGCGCCTGCAGAGGGAGCCGACATTTTCTACAACCACAGCGGCGCGCGGGAAAATCGTTCCAACGACGACGACGACGATCGAGTTCTCCAGCAACGATTGCCCGCGCTGTCGGTGTTCAAGGCGGACGGGGGCGACTGGGGAGCCTTCCAGCGACGGTTCATCGCGCATCAAGAAATGTCGGGGTGGTCCGACACCACTGCCCTGCGCGCGCTGCCAGCGATGCTCGACGACGACGCGCTTGCGGCCTTCACGTCTGCCCCGAGGTCGTCCCGCTCAACGCTCCAGGCCGCGCTGCACCTGTTGGCCAAGGTGTTCGGGCCGCCCTCGACCTGTCGCCACCAGTTCTACGATCGGCGGAAGGTGGTTGGAGAAACAACGCTCGCCTATCGCACGGCGCTGCTCGCCCTGGCAGACTCAGCTTTTCCCCGCATGGACAAGGAGGGGAAGGACGCCATGGTGACGGAGCAGCTGCTGGCGTTGGCTCACGGATTGGGAGTTCCCATTAATACGGCGGACGAGATGGACATTTGCTCTCTGGGGATTGCCACAAGTATTCACGCTTACGAAGTCCTAAAGCGAAAGCCGACGGTCATCTGCGCATCGGTGGGGAACGGGGCACCGGCCGCCACGATCATCGGCCCTCAGCCTGCTGTGCCGCGGGAGGAGGCCTTCGCCGTTTCAAGACCGGGGGAGTGGAGAACGGGAGGTCGTTCGCCCACACGTTCACACCGCAAGCTGGAGCAACCGAAACCTACGACGTCCCTCGTCGTCTGCTACAACTGCGGCCTTCGGGGCCACGTCGCGTCCGGGTGCCGGGCCCCACGTCAGCGTACCGCGGGACCACGTCCGGACGACGACCAGGGCCTAAAGACATCCCAGCTGAACCCGGCAAGTCGCGGCACCTCACACGTTCGGTCCACATGCACGGCACGTTCGGGTCGCCGCTTAGCGGTGGGGGGACCGCGTATGGGCACCGGGGGTTCGGTTCGGCGAGAGGGGTCCGTACACGGCCCGAAAGCAGTCGAATGGTCCGAATTGGCCCACAGGATAGTGGCTGCGTCGGCCGGGTCGTCCGTGGTAACGGGGTACATTGACGGGGTCGAGGTCCGGGTGCTTGTGGACACGGGTGCGTCGGCCACTATCATTTCGGACCTTATTTATAACATTCTTCCCGTCCAATGTCGACCCCTTCTGCCGGTGGACGTACCGTTTTACGCGGCAAACGGGGGATCTTTGGGAATCATCGGCCAGATTCGGGCGACTATTTGTATTGGCGATATAAAATTGGCGGGTCCTATTTTTGTATCATCTTCGTTGGCCGTTCCTTGTTTACTAGGCACGGACTTTCTGTCTAAAATGCCCATCAAAATTCTCATAGACCAGGCCTGCATTGAGCTTCCGTCGGGACGGCGGGTTGAGTTTTTGAAGAGTCCTACTAAGATACGCACGGTTTGTGCGACGGTGCAGGCGGTGGCAACCCAGACTGTACGGGTGCCCCCGGGTTCGCAAATGTTGGTACCCCTTCGGTTGAGGAAACCCCTCGGGGCAGATGCGGGGGCACAGGGAGTTCTGTTGGGGCCGTCTAACAGAGCTAAAGGGGGTCTCGACTTAGCGGTGGCCCAGACCATGGTGAGGGGGGACAGTGAGCCGTTCGTTATGGTCCTGAATACGGGGTCGCGGCCGGCCGTGATTACGCAGGGAACGGTGCTGGCTCACGCCGCGCCGCTACCCGTCGAGGAACAGCTCGTTGCTCACGCCGATTCGAGTGCCGATACGCATTCTCATAGTGAGGAGGGGACGGAGTGGTTGGACTCGTTGTGTGCCGGGTCCAGTAACTTGTCCAGTGTGCAGTTGGGTGCATTGAGGGGCTTGCTACTCGAGTTTGCTGACGTGTTTAGCAGGCACAAGTATGATATTGGCTGCACAGACCTGTTGCGCCACCACATAGCTACTGGGGACGCGGCCCCTATTCGACAGAATCCCTTCCGGCTCAGTCCAGCCGAGAAGGAGCATGTGCAGTCGGCAGTTAATGACATGTTGGCGGCCGACATCATTGCGCCCTCTTCCAGTCCGTGGGGTGCTCCTATCGTCTTGGTTAAAAAACAGGATGGGTCCTTGCGGTTCTGTGTCGATTTCCGCCGCCTAAACAAAATCTCAATGGCCGATGCGTATCCGCTCCCCAGGATGGATGAGTCTCTGGATGCCTTGGCGGGAGCACAGTTTTTTTCGACGCTCGATTTGCTTTCGGGATTTTGGCAATTACCCCTCGATGACGAATCTAAACCAAAAACCGCTTTCCGGACACCGGGAGGCCTATTTGAATTCAACCGATTACCCATGGGTTTACATTCCGCTCCTGCCACGTTCCAGAGGCTCATGGAATTGGTTTTGTTAGGCCTTCAATGGGACACCTGTTTGATTTACCTCGATGATATCATCGTTTTTAGCCGGACTTTTGAGGAGCACCTCCAGCGACTGAGAGCGGTGTTTCTCAGGATGCGTTCCGCGAAGCTTAAATTTAAACCGGCTAAATGTTTTCTGCTTCGGGAATCGGTCAGGTATTTGGGCCATATCGTTAGCCGTTCAGGGATCTCGACAGACCCTGCTAAGACGAAATGCGTCAGCTCATGGCCAACGCCGACCTCTGTCACTGAAGTCCGCAGTTTCATAGGATTCGCCTCCTATTACCGTCGGTTTGTCAAGCAGTTTGCCACCATAGCCAGGCCCCTGCACGCTTTGACGGCTAAAGGGGTGCGGTTTCACTGGGGGTCGGAAGAGGAGGCCGCGTTCTGCTCCCTTCGTGACGCCTTGGTGCAGGCTCCCCCCTTGTGTTACCCCGATTTCACGCAACCGTTTGTGCTCGACACGGATGCCAGTAACACGGGTATCGGGGGAGTGCTCTCACAGGTGGTCGGGGGGGTCGAACGGGTGGTCGCCTACGGTAGCAGGGTTCTGTCCCCCGCGGAACAACGCTACTGCGTGACACGTCGTGAATTGCTGGCGATTGTGTTTTTTATACAGCAATTCAGGCCGTATCTTTATGGCCGTCATTTTACGGTTCGCACGGACCATGCGGCTCTCCAATACGCTATGCGGGTGGCGCAGCCATCCGGCCAATTGTCCCGATGGTTGGAGGTCCTTCAGGACTACCAATTCACGACGATTTACCGCAAGGGGTTGCGCCACTCGAATGCGGATGCGTTGTCGCGGTTGCCGCCGCGTACGGAATGCGCATGTCTGTTAGGATCGGCGCGGTGTAAACCCTCTGTCGCTGTCCCCGCGGAAGTTGTGCTCGCCGCCACGGATACTACGGGGGTCGACGCTCCCACGGGGAGGGACTCGCTGTTAGCGTTGCCTCTCATCGAGTGGGGCCGTCTGCAAATGTCCGACAGCTCCCTACTCACGCTACGTCGGAAGGTTGACGATCCCGAGGGAGGGGAAACGCGGGTCGGTTCCTGGGTGTGCAGACAGGGCCTTTTGATGAGGTGGGACAACATGTCCCGGCGTCACGTGCTCGTGGTGCCGTTTGCTATGCGGGGTAGGATCGTCCTGGCTGCCCATGAACGACTCATGCACCTGGGGTTTCACAAAACGCTCGCCCTCATTCAGCGAGACTACTATTGGCCGGGGATGGGCAACGACGTGGCGAACATTCTTAAGGGATGTGTAGGGTGCGCCCAAAGAAAACCACCACCAATAGCGGCTAATCCACCGCTGCAATCCATTCAGGTTTCGCGCACGAACGAATTGGTCACGCTGGACATCTTGGGGCCCTTTCCCGCTACGCCTCGGGGAAATAAGTTCCTGCTGGTTGGCGTAGAGTACTTCACTCGCTGGCCCATGGCATGGCCACTCGCCAACCAGTCGGCTGCGGCAGTGGCGGACGCCTTTGTCCAAGGTTATGTTTTGGACAAAGGCGCCCCCGAACGCTTGCTGACGGATCAAGGGAAAAATTTTTCGAGTGTTTTGTTGCGCGAGGTGTGCGACCTGTTGGGTACAAAGAAAGTACGTACCTCCCCGTACCACCCGCAGACTGACGGTATGGTTGAACGTCTGAACAGGACGATTACGTCTATGCTGTGCCAACAGGTATGCGATGACCAGGTGGATTGGGACTTACAGGTACCGGGGGTACTAGCGGCCTATCGGATGGCACCTCATGCGGCGACGGGGTTTTCTCCATTTTTTCTGATGTATGGGCGGGAGGCCGATCCGGCCATGGACGTCCAACTGGGGATTTCCCAGCCACGTGCAAAATCTAAATTGGCAGACCATATCAAGTTTAACATCGCCAAATTGGCTGAAGCGCGAGAGGCTGCGAGATTGAATTCGCGGTCTCGGCAGATCGCGAACGAGCGATTGCATGGACGGAAGGTGCATACGCACAATTGGGAACCGGGCGATAAGGCCTGGCTGCATTGTCCACACGCACCGTTGGCTACGTCCCCCAAACTGTTGAGACCATGGAGGGGACCGGTGGAAATTGTGCGGGTTGCACGACCCCAGAGTATACAGATTAAATGGGGAAAACGCCGTTGGTACGTGCACCCCTCCCGACTGAAACCCTACGCGGCGCCGCGTGACCCCGGGTTGTGCCGTGACGACCGAGCGTGTGATGTGACCGTCGACTCGGGGAGGGATGTGTCGCAGGCTGCTCCTCACGTGTCTCCACCTGACCCACCCCCAGGTGTCTCGGACCTGACGGCTGTTGACCGTCGGGAACCGGAACCCCGCGGCTCGCGCGGAGCCCCGATGCCTGGCCCATGCCTTCCTGAACTGCCGGCGCCACCGGATGGCCAACTGCGTCTGGTGCCGTACGACGGACCGGCAAGGCGGACTCGGGCTAGGACGCAACACTTTTCATGAATAGAAAAAAAAGGATGATTTTCCTTTTTTGTTTAAAGCCCGACCTCGTTGCCGGGGTCCCCCTCTGCCGGGGTAATGTCCCGTTCAAGGGACGCTCGGACACATTGGGACGCTGCACGAGTCGGAGAGAAAAGAAGAGAAAATGAAAAATATTTTTTTATTTTTATTGTTACTCTTTCCGCATACACATTATCGTTGCCACTCGCCGGATTGCGCATATTGTTCTTGTTGTGGGCGGGGCGGTTGCTGGGTTTTGCGGATTGCGGTGTTCATGTTGTGTTGTTAGGGTTTTGTTGTTATGTTACGGGGCACACATAGGGGTGAAGGGGTGTTGTATATTTTATTAGCAGCCGGGTCGGCTGCGAGCTATATGGTAGGGGGTGATGTAGTGGTGGTATTGACGTGCGCCGGCAGTGATGGATCACGGGGCGCGGGGTTGGTCACGCGGTGTGGGCGTGGCATGGACGCGCGCGCCGGTGGTGAGGCGCGCTCACACAAGCTGGGAAAAGAGGATCGTAGCGAGTGCGCAGTGATTGGTCAGATAAGTGGGTACTCTCAGCGACGTCCGCAGGAGGGGTATAAAGGGGGACGCGCGAGAGCACTCGTGGTCAGTGTTAACCAGTTGAAGACCGAAGACGGGGTGGAGGAGGTAGGGGCCCTGTGTGGCTCGGAGCCGAGACTGGGGGGACCGTAGTCCGACGCCCGTGTGGGTCGGGACGGTGGTACCCAGAGCCGAGACGGGCACCCCGGCTGGGTGTGTCCCGGAAGGCTACGGGGCGTAAGAGCCCGTGTCAGTACAGCTGAGTGGGTGTTGGTCACCCGTGTAGCTGAGTGGGTGTTAGTCACCCGTGTAGCTAAGTGGGTGTTGGTCACCCGTGTAACGAAGTTGTAGCTGAGTGGGTGTCCGTCACCCGTGTAGCTAAGTGGGTGTTGGTCACCCGTGTAACGAAGTTGTAGCTGAGTGGGTGTCCGTCACCCGTGTAGCTAAGTGGGTGTTGGTCACCCGTGTAACGAAGTGTAGCTGAGTGGGTGTCCGTCACCCGTGTAGCTAAGTGGGTGTTGGTCACCCGTGTAACGAAGTAGGGTGTTAGTCATCCGTGTAACTACAAGTTGGTGGAAATAAAGAGTGTGCTACCCGTGAAGTCGTCTCCTGCCGAGTTACTACTTTACACGAGCACCAGGCCTCACACGGAGCCAGGGTCACTGCATATCTCTCTCACGCAAGGGTCAGGGTTACATGTACACATCACACGCTGCTTTGCTTTGACCTTTCTCCATGTGCTTTGTGAGCGTCGAGTGCTGCGTTTGTTCTTTGCCTGTGCCCTCAGGCTTGACCCCTTGATGTAGATGTGACGCACCTCACGTGTCGATGTGACGCTTGGCAGGTGCTCAGGAAGATCTCCAAGTACGTGCAAGAGCAGAACGAGAAGATCTACGCGCCACGCGGCCTGCTCATCACTGACCCCATCGAGAGAGGCCTCCGCGTGGTATCCTTACGGCGTCGAGCGCCTTCGTGCGACTGGGTTTTGCCATGAGAACGTGGAGGTTTACACCACTCGTCTGAGTAGGGAGGCACCCGGCGAGTTTTCATCCGATTGCCCATGTCTGTGTGCGTGAGTGGGTGAGTGTGAGTTGGTGGTTGAGCGAGTGATTTTAAAGGTGGGTGAGTGGGTGGTTGGTTTAGTGGGTGAGTGTGTACGTGTGTGTGTGTGTGTTAGTGGGGAGCGGTAATGTAGCGGTTACCACACTGACCTATGAACTCGGCAACCAGAGTTCGATTCCCGCTCATGGCCAACACCGGTGACGATTATCTGAACTGGTCCTAGGCCTCTCCTAGGTTGACTCAGCCTCAGATGGGTACTTGGTGCAGTGTGTGGTAAACATCACCACTGGGGAGACAAAGGCAGCCGGGTGTGTTGCTTGTGTAGTGTTGTAAAGGACGGACTTCTAAACTTTTTTATGGCACACAGTTTATTGTCTTAATACAGTCCCTATCACACAAAGGGGTATACGGTCCCCTTACCCGTTACCCTGAGGAGGTACAGCCTCCGGACCTTGTACAGCTCCACACTCACGCTTATTCTAAGGAGGTACAGCCTCCGGACCTTGCAGGCTATCTAATCTCCCTGCTAACCTAGCATCCTCTGGCTGAACCTAGGGGAGGCACACTGACCCACCGCTGGCCCGGCGGGTCCCCGACCTCTGGTCGCTCAGGACCTTCGCCCTCACAAGGGCGGGAAGGCTGGGAGCTAGGGTCCTGCCTATCCAGGACCTAATCTCCCCTGACCACTGGTTACACTGAGCCCTAGCCCTGATAAGGGCTGGAGGGCTTGGTCCAGGGTCCTAGCTGTCTTCGGCCGACTTGGGTCTTCGTGTAGCAGAACTGGCCAAGAGCTCTCAGCGCTCTGGCTTTTATACTGGTTCGTGGCCGGGTTGTCCAATCCCCGGCCACCTTGTGGAACCCCCCGATTGTTCCTTCCCAATCTGGCGTTTAAATTCCTACCTCACCCCATTTGACCCTGACCGTTTGATCGAGCGGGAAAACGTTGTTTACGATCCGCTCTCTCACAGCTTGCGAACAGCGAGTAGTTATCACCACTACACTTGCAACCCACCCCCTCGTGTGCTCTGCCGGCCTTCATAGGTGCTCGTTAACAGCACTTTCCCCAACATCTGTTATGGCTACAAGGGGGATTTTTACCGTTGTTGCCCTGTGCGTTGCATTTCTTAACCTTTGTTCCCCAGATTGAGATATCGATCTATGAAGACAAAGGCAGCAGTGGCGGCAGCCGATAAAGCGGTCCGGTCTCCAGAGACACTGATGGACAGAGCCGCTCCTCCCGTAAAGGCCGTTTACATGCGGAATACATCAACACAGCCGCATTCTGTATTTGTAAGGTATCACTACGGGTGTTGTGTCAGCATGGTCTTAGTAGAGAAACGCTTGCTAAATATTTACCCAGTGCTCACTGCATCAGCTTTTTAGTTTGTCAGTCATTTTTACGGAATCATTAGTGACATTTTATATGTATAATTGTCATGACCAAGTATTGCGAAGTTGTGCTGTTGCCAGTCACCCTGTGCACGCGTCAAGACTCGGTAACGGTTCGCCTGTGTACACACGCAACACTTTGTACAGTGTGCGCATTGTAAGTGGCAAGTTTCAGTTTGATGTTTTTATCCTGTTAAGTCAGCACACGCTGCATTTTTTTTATTTTATGTTTTTATTTTATGTTTTTATTTATTGACTTGGAAAATCCACGAGGACTTATAAGTATCGGGCTTAACCGTATTTTCTGGAGGCTCACTTATGGAACCTGCCGATGAGTGTGATACCAATCACTCGGAAATTGTGCAATTGGGGTCCTGCTCTCATCCCGATGCCGTAAATGAGCCTCATGGTGGTGCCACCACACTCAGCTGGGGGAGGATGCCGGAGGCTAAAGCAATGTTGGCATTCATTGGCCACGGCCGTTGTGTTGTGTCTAAAATTTGAAATGTTACTCGGATTCAAAAACTGCAACTGTAGTTGTCCACATGTAGCTACTCTTCCTTCGTTAATAAAAAATTGTAACGCACACAAATTGAACTCGAAAAGTACATTCGGAAGCATGGGAGAAAGAGCGATGTCTTCAGATTTTGACAGAAGGGGGACACGGACTGCGATATGCGGTGGATTGAGAGAAGAGGAAGTGAATTCCATCCGACTGGAGCTGCAACGGAGAAGTGATGTTAACTTGTCAGGTTCGAGAGATCGGAGGTTGCGAGATGGAACTTACAATGAGATGGCAGAAGCCAGTGCTTTCAGAGTCCCAGACTCTCTGCTCGCAATCATTCGGGACCTTCATGATGGTGGGCAGGCCTGGGTAAAGTTGCATGGCCAGGTGTTGGACTTATTTTCTGTGCACCTTGGGGTACGACGGGGATTTCCTCTGGCCCCTGCACTCACATCTTCTTTGATCGCATAGTTTGATAAGCTTTCTATGGATGGACCAGTGGAATTTCCATCTGGTATAAATACAGTGGGAGGTTGATCGATGCTTGGGTGAAGTCGAAAAATGGCTTCCTTTTGGTCAACCATATGTATACGGATCTGGTGATTGCTGCCCATTCTGAGGAGGAGTTGGAGATGTGACTGCTGAACCTGGAGCCATGCTACTCAGAGATGGAGCCTTAAAATCAACCCCACAAAAACCAAGCACCTGCCTGGGTATTTTATGTCATGAAATGCGCAGTTGTGGAGAGCGTGGAGAAGTTTCTGTACCTATGCAGTTTGTTTATGACCACCTATTTGATAGCTGAGGTCTCGCTAAATTAGTCGAGTGACTTATTTTCATCAGCTGCGTAATACTGTGTGCAAGCTACACAGTCTAATCACTCCATACAAAGCTCCGTTTTTTTTCTAAACATGGAGCCCTCTTAATGGAAGTGGTTTATGTGGAAATTTATATCAGTCAAATGCTCTAAACGCATGTTGATTCTAAATGTGGAAGGGAAAAACCAGTGGGCCCGGAGAAAAATCCACGGAGAGACTCACAAACTCCAAATACACAGCAGGCGTTGGGGCCGGGATCGAACCCACGACCTCCTGCATACCAGGCGAGGGAGTTGACATCTCAGCACGGCGCCACCCGGATGGACCGGACGGGCGAGCAGCGTTGGGTCGTGCGTGTACACTGAACGCGCAGGAGCCGCTTGCAGTGTTGCTTTTGCTCGGCCGGTCGGTCACCGCAGTATTTGAGGCAAGTACATGCAAGCAGATGAAGTATTTTTTATTTATTTACGAGATAAAATTTCTTGTGGCGCTACGGTAGCAAGATGTTAATTACTTTGCTTGGTATATAGGAGGACATAGGTTCCATCACGACCCTGACGCCTGTGTATTTGGAGTCTGTTTCTTTCCCCGTGGTCATGTGGATTTTTCTCCGGGTCCTCCGGGTTTACCCTCCAAATTTAGGATCAACACACGTTTAGAGGAGTAGTTCTTAACCTTTACTGCAGCCTTGCACGCTTTTGATTCTCAATCGTAAAAATGTATATAATGTTGTAGTGTCAACGATTCAGAGACCGTTTCTAGCAGGCACTTTCTTGATTAACAACTTTCACGGTCTCGTCCGCACACTCCACAGTAGCTTAGCCTAGCCTGTACACAACACTGGCCGTCTAATACTGACGGCGCTGACTGAGCCAACTACTCTCCTCCGTAGCGCAACATCTAGCGGAGACGTTCAGCGATAACGGAGACGAGACGACAACGACGAGACAAGTCCATTCCCAGAACCGGCAGCCTCGAGCTCCCGCTCTGCTCCTTTTATGCTCCCAGCGCGGCCTGGCTCCGCCCTGATCGCGCTTCTCTTCTCGAACCCGCTAGCAGTTTCCAGGGGCCTCCAGATGGGGTCCTCTGTGACCCTTACCCCAGTTCCTCCCCTCTGCCCACACACCGTGCACACCCTCACCGGCGTGTGTGCTGTCTGTCCACCACAGTTTCCGCTGCTGTCCACCAGCTGGCGCTAATGCACTACAATGTTAATAAATACATAGGTTTCATGAAACACAGTAGTTGTACTGACGTGCCCGTGCTTAATTTGTGTTTTTGATTGTTTACCTTAAAAAATCTGGCCATGTCTCGCACCCCCAGAAAGGTCATCTCACTCTCCCAGGGGGTGCGTACACCCCAGGTCAAGAACCACTGGTTTAGAGTATTTGGCTGTATTAAAGTTACACGTGACGATGAGCCACTTCAGCTATAATTTGTGGCCAGGTCGCTTCTGAGAAAGAGCTATATAACATATTCTTAGGTTTTTTCGGTTAAGTCACGTAAGTAAAACATCAAAATAAAAATAAAATAAAAAATCACGACGTTTCGGAGGCAACACAAGTCTTCGTCATCAGGTGGGACCGTCACAGCCGGATTAGCTGCATCAAGTGAGGCAATGATTCAAGATGTAATCCCTTAAAAAGGCAAGGTATTTTTTATTAATTTTAATTTCATTTTTTTACCTACGTGACTGTACCGAAAGAACTAAGAGTATAAAACTAAACTATACACTTTTTTTATTTTAGCAGGTAAGGCCCACTGAGCTGTTATATAGCTTAGATTTGAAGCTTTCGTGACTGCAAAGATTCATATTCTTAGGTTTTTTCGTGTATCAGGCCTCCCCCTCTCTGTCTAATGCGTTGGCGTTGTGCAACACCAACAGCACCCATGCCATCGTGCATTGTTTGGCCCCGCCCCTCCTCCCCCTCCCGTTGCGTTGTGCAACACCAACAGCGTCCACGCCGACGTGCAGTCTTTTGGCCCCGCCCCCCCCCTCCCCCTCCCGATGCGTTCCATTCATTGGCTACCACATTCTGATGAGCCCCCCCCCTCTCCTCCCCCTCAACTTGCCTTTTTAAGGGATTACATCTTGAATCATTGCCTCACTTGATGCAGCTAATCCGGCTGTGACGGTCCCACCTGATGACGGAGACTTGTGTTGCCTCCGAAACGTCGTGATTTTTTATTTTATTTTTATTTTGATGTTTTACTTACGTGACTTAACCAAAAAAACCTAAGAATATGAATCTTTGCAGTCACGAAAGCTTCAAATCTAAGCTATATAACAGCTCAGTGGGCCTTACCTGCTAAAATAAAAAAGTGTATAGTTTAGTTGTATACTCTTAGTTCTTTCCGTACAGTCACGTAGGTAAAAAAATGAAATTAAAATTAATAAAAAATAAAATAATAAAATCACGACGTTTCGGAGGCAACACAAGTCTCCGTCATCAGGTGGGATCGTCACAGCCAGATTTGCTGCATCAAGTGAGGCAGGGATTCAAGATGCAAGCTCTTAAATACAAGTTAAGGGGGAGGAGAGGGGGGGGGCTTATCAGAATGTGGTAGCCAATGAATGGAACGTATCGGGAGGGGGGGGGGGCTAAAAGAGCACGAGGTGCTCGTAGGCATCGACGTGGACGTGTTTGTGCGCAAATCCCTGTTGGTGCACATGTAGTGACATAAGAAGGGAGGGGCTGCTGGGGGCTCTGGGACCCTGGGAGGGCCAGGCGCTTAAGCCTCTTGGCGCCAGGCGTGGGTTCCCAGGCGGGTCAGACGCTTAAGCCTCTTGGCGTCAGGCGTTGGGTTCCCGGGTGGCCCAGGCGCTTAAGCCTTGGCGCCGCCAAAGGGGGGGGCTGTGTGTGCACTGTGGGAGATCTGGGGGCGCACACGGCCCCACCCCTCGTTTGGGACGAGTTATAAAAGGGGAGCTCCCTGGACGATCAGGGCCAGCTGTAACTCAAGACCCAAGACCCACGACCAGCCATCTGAAGACCCTGGGATGTTGTGAGAGCGAGTGGTGGGACTCTGGAACTCCCGACTCTACGATCTTGTGAGGGCGAGTTCCAGAGCGTAGCCAGAGTAGAGTATCTAGGCTGTGTACCTAGGCTGTGTACCTAGGCTGTAACAGAGTATCAGGAGTGTTGGAGAGTTGGAGTGTTGGATTGAAATAAAGAAGTTACCTCTACAAGTGTCTCCGGAACTCGTTACACACATGATAACGTATTGGAAGGGGGGGGGGGAGGCAGGGCTAAAAGAGAGCACGGGGTGCAACGTGTACGTGGACATGCCTGTGCACAAGCACCTGTTGGTGCACATGATAGAAGAGAACGAAAATGCCCATGTTTATACCAGTGTTGGCTGACAATAAAGAGAGTACTGTTAAACGCTGGGGATGTTAACACTCGGTAAAGTAAAATAGTGCCTGTTTAGATAAGATGGTCCAAAAATGTGTATTCAAATCTTTTTTGCATGGTTAATAACATCTTTCCAATTATTACTAAGTTTGTACCCATCATCACGGTTGAAATTATGTCTGTGTTTGTATATCTGAATGGCTTCGTGTACAAACCATTGATGGTAGCCAGAGGGTTTGCAGAGCACCTTGGTCTCGGAAAAAACAATATCATGAGAGCCCACCGCGTTGTAGCAATGATCGGCAACGGCGGAAGACTCAATTTTGCCGTGTTTCAAATCGGACTTGTGCTCGCGGACACGATCAGAGACATGACGTTTCGTTTCCCCAATGTAACAGTCACCACAGCTGCAACTCAGTTTATAGACTCCAGGGTATTGCAAGTCAGGGATGACATCCTTCACAGATGGAATTAGATCACGGATTTTATGTACTGTACTGAATCGGACTTGGATCTTATGTTTGTTTAGAATTTTGGAGATCTATTTGGTCACGCCTGCTATGTATGGCAACGTGATAGTTTTGATCGGAGTTTCAAGTGGCTGTTTCTGTATGGTGGGAGAAACAGCTTAGCGGATGGTGCGTTCAGAGTATCCGTTCATCCTGAGGGCCCGATGTACATGTCTTAATTCACTGGCCAGGTGGTGTTGGTCAGAAATGCCATGAGCTCTGTGGTATAGTGTTTTAGTTTAAAATCATTGAACGATTACGTTCATATGAATGAAACATAATTTTTGATTCAATATTCTACAGAATGTCACTGAAGATGGAACTTCTCTTTTGCCATTTCTCACCACCCTTGGATACTGCTGAATGCAGTTTCAACACAAAGTAATCAATTTGCCGCGTGCACCGTTGCCGCGTGCACACTTGGGCTGGCGTTGAACTGCAGCGTGGGAGTCGGCAACAACTTTTAAGACATGAACGTGTAGAGTCCTGGTCATCAACACAGGCCCCTGGAGGCGTTTAGCTTCCCGGGTATCCGTCGCACAGCGGGCGATCTGAGTGCTGGTTGGGAAAGGACGTGGACTTGGCCCAGTCATGTTGTGCTGTGCGCTGTTGTTCGCACTGCAGTGACGCGAGGATTTTTGTAAACTGAAAAAAATAGAGACGGGTAATAATGACATTTATAATGCACCAGATTTTGCAGCAAAACATTTTTTTTTTTGCTGTGGTTTTCCCACTTGATGATTGCTTGTGTTGCAATCGAAACGTCGTGATTTATTTTATACCGACGTGACTTTACCGCAGTCGCAAAAGCTTCAAATCAAGATTTTGCAGACAAGTCAACAACTCGGGTGCAGAGCCAAGCTCAGGGCTGCTCAAAAGCCTGACCCGGACAGATAGAGAGGCCTTTAAGATGTTTCTTGAAAGTCAGAGTGCATTGATGTTGCGGATGTGCAAAGTGATTAGAGAGTTCCACACCGAGGGGGCGACAGCAGAGAACCGACGTGAGGCTGTAAGAGTGGAGTCCAGGTGACCCCCGACTTCCGACGGTTCGACTTGCGACATCCCGCTTTTACGACCTTTAAGTAAGACCCCCACAGTAACGACCAAAACTCGTATCTATGATCGCCCAACGACTGCTATGTTAACTTACAATAAATGTTTGTTAGGGTTATTTTCATTTATTTTCGTGGTAAATTTGGTATTTCTATGGTAATGGGTTTCTATGGGAAACGAGGCTTCGACTTACAACGGCTCCACTTGCGACCGTCATACAGGACTCAATTAGGTCGTAGGTGCGGGGGTCGCCTGTATATAGTGTAGTGTATAGTAGTGTAGCATATAGTAGTGTAGTGTATAGTAGTGTTTAGTGTAGTAGTATAGTGTGGGGGGGACATCCCCAATATTCTTAAAATGTCCCCCCCCCCACATATATTGCTATAAAAAATAATTGCTATGCTATGTAAATCAAAACAACAATTTGCTAAACCTTGACCACAATATCTGGACTTGTCTTCATATAAATCAATGCATAGATTGCTGTTTATATGATTGTGGTTATGGTTGTACTTTATTAATCCCTAATCTCAAACATTAGTATACAATGAAACAAGAAACGGTAAAAAATAAAAAAACAGAGCAATGTAATACAATGCACTATTAGACATTATTGTAAAAAATAAATTAAAAGACCATCCCATGTGTTAGTAAATTTTAAAATTTTAGGCAGGAAATGAGTTTTCAAATTTAGATATTTTTCTGGGTTGGGACCCCCAAACACCCTGGAAGATTTGGTCCCCCCAATGTTGACTCCATGGCTAGGGCCTTGTAGTGTATAGAAGCAGATTTTGAGTGACGCTGCTGCTGCGTAGGGTTCTACTGTGAGCTTCAGTGCAAGTGTAATGCGAGCGTAAGCGGGGTTCGCTGCTGGGCTCTGGGCCAATCATACGGCCCGGGGTATTGGGGGCGGAGCCCAGTATGGGGGCGTATGTGAAGGTCCGCCGCTCACCTCGGGTCCAATCGGAAGCGAGGTGAGTGGGGGCGGAACCTAAAGGCGGAGCCAGCAAGGCGCTATGGGGAGGCCGGATCTGGAAGGTTCGGAAGGGCGTGGTCAGAGGGAGGAGACAAGATCACGTGGTGAAGGGGATATAGGGGGGAACCCGGAAGGGCTCTGGGTCAGTTGGGAGAGTCACGAAGCTGGACCACGTTGGGTGGCCGGAGGGAATCCGCGCCATCAGCCACGTGGCTGGAGGAGTTTCGGCACACCGTCGGCCAGCGGTGTGCGGAGCGGAGGGAGCGAAAGGACTGACGAGAGAGCGCGTGCGGGGCGCGCGCGAGGAGCAGCTGGTCCGCTGTCGGGACCAGCGGGGTGCGAGTGTCAACCAGAATAAAGAGTGACGGAGACCAAGCAGTGTGTGGCGAAGTCCTTTATTACACAAGGCGAGAGTCGTGAGGCCAGGTGTGGTGGTGCGGAACCGGTGAAGGTGCGATGACAAAGGCAGGTGCCACTTCCTCGTTTGTCCTGCCGGCGAAAGGCGGCCAATGAAGAAGATGGAGAGCGGTGGCCGAGTCGAGTCCGAGATGGTGGACACCAAGGATGGCACGAGCAAGGTGGTTATGTAACCGTTGCAATTTGAGGCTAATGACTTGTAGAGAATGGCAATACAGTCGTCTAGGTGAGAGCTGACGATACTGCAGGCGAGGGTGTTAGTAATGTCGATGGAAACGAGTGAATGTAGGTGACGAAGAGCCTTGAGATGACATTTGCAAGTGTTGATGATGTAGTTGACGTGAATGTCCAGAGAGAAGAGTGACACCAGGGAATTTGATGCGGTTCGTAAGGGGAATGGTGGTGGCCGGCAATCCGTCATTGCAGGGAAGAGAGGGTGACACGAGCCGTTGTTGGGTGCCAATGGGTATGGATTCAGATTTGGCTGGATTTAAAGATCAATGTGACCAGAACCAGTCCTGCAAGGTTGTTGTGCACTCAGAGATTTTCAATTCCTTGAGCATTAGTGGTGTTTATTGAGGTGAATAATAGAATGTCGTCAGCACCGGAGTGGTATTTCATTCCGAAGCTATTAAACAATCGTGGTCCCAGCACTGAGCTCTGGGGGACTTCGCATGAGTGCCTTGTGGTCGTGGATTCGCCTATTTTAACAGAGGTCCTCCCAGCCAAGGAGGATGAGATCCATTTTAGGACTAATCCTCTGATTGCAAAGTCGGACTTAATACTGGTAAGCTGTAGGTGATTGACAGTATCAAAAGATAATGAAATGTCCAGACCAACGAGAGAATTTCGTCGAAGACTCTGGTAATTGCAGTCTCCGTGGAGTAAGTCTGACGGTAGGCAGATTTATCGCGACAAAAGTTTGGGCAAGATGTAATGAGAGTCTTAAGTTGAGCAAGATGCCGGTAACTGTCAGGCGTGTCAGTGTCGAGTTTGGATTTCTTAAGACATTGTGGTGAAACTTGTCCTATTTTTAAAGATAGAAAACACCCAGCTGAAAATGAAGCGTTGGCGATGGTGCGCAATCGTAGTAGCGAGTTTAGTGAAGCATTTAAAAAAGGGGCATAGGGAAGGATGTCATGAGGCGAAGGCTTAATGTAAAGTGATTGAATTAAGGCAAGAACATCATTTCGTGATCGGTACTGGAGTAAACCGCGAGCCTGGAGTGTTTCTTATGTTTTCTTGTGTTGAATCAATGCAGCTGAAATTATGCACTCCCGAGAATCTTTGTGGCTGATGGGATGTGTAAAAAAAATACTTCGGCGTTTTTATGAGGAGAGGAAGATGTGGAGGCGAATCAAGCGGCTTCTTCATTTCAACACTTTATTTAGACATTTTGTGAAAGCTATCATGAGAAATTACACACGACCACTCTGAAACGCAACCCAGCTCCCTCCCCAAGTCCTCCGGGGCGAGGCCACGGACTGCACTCCAGACCCCACGACCGACGAGCATCAGGGTCCCTGGCGCAGAGCGAATCACTGTGCCACTTCGCTGTGCCACCGCTCCCCTAAGGGGCAGTCCATAAATGACGTCACGCGATTTTTGACCCCCCTCCCCCAGTCACACGGCGTTACAAAAAGTCAGACCCCCCCAAATATGACGTCACAAAGCTGCCCCCCCCCAAAAAACATGCTTCAAATCGCTTTAAACGATTGTCATTGTAGTGCGTTTTTAATGTGGCGCTGCACTGATGTTGGAGAAAACATTTATAAAAAGTATATTAAGTAGAACGTGTTGTCTATATTTATTTAAAGTTGCGCATTTTGATGTGACGTCACATTTCTCAACCCTCCCCCCCATCGTCACAAATGTCTGACCCCCCCCCCGAGGTGCGTGACGTCATTTATGGACGCCTCCTAACGGGGTGATCCCAGGGCGAACGCGGGGATCGTCTGCGAGTGTGGACGCGCGTCGTCGTCACGGCGGCAGAGCTGTACGAATTCCTCGCGCTGTGCTCGGCCCTGGCTTTGACACCGAGAATCTGCATCTTGGCAGCCGCAATGCTGATACACACAAACACTCCATATACGAAACGGAATGACGACTCATAAACCAGTCACATAGGTGCAACTAAGGGTTTTTAAATATTACATTTCACGAGTTTTACAATATCCACATTCAAATGGTTGTGGAGATTATTGTTTAAATATTGCCTCAATCATCAGCCACCATTTATTAACTGCTGGATGAAGGCTTCATGATGTCACCAACCCCAAGACTGCGATGTTACAATCCCATTACGGCAACCGAGCTCATCTCGTTGCTCCATCTCCACGGCAGACGCCCTCTTGGGGCGCGATCGCTCCTTTAGCTGCCAACCCTGACACTGATCGAGTCCATCAGCTGTCTTCCGCTCTAGCAGTGATGTGTGCTGCTACAACACCCACAGACTTCGTTTACAGTGATGATGCCACCTTTGTTTCTAATTTCATTTTGCTGTCTCAAAGTGCAATTCTCAGCATGCACCTCTCCACGCCGCTTTGTATAATTGTCCTCTTTTTGTTCCACTCCCTGCTTCATTGTCCACGTTGGAGTGATGCTTGTATATGGGTGCTTGTATGTACTGTATGTTGAACTTTTTTCGCACCATACGTAGCCAACCGCGATAATCGGACGTGCGGGGGAAGGACAAACTAAACACAAAAATGTATTTTAAAGAAATTCGTTTTCAATCTAGATTTAAAAGTGCATTGCTCCAGTGGCTTCCTAATAGCAGCAGGAGGGGCATTCCAGACGGCAGCAGAAATGCATCCAAAAACGTGCGCGATGCAGTAACCGTCTTTGTTCGATGGGCTCGCCAAAAGACGCTCTCCTGCTGCTGCGAGGTTGACCGGAGTTTGCGTGACGATGGTTTATCGTGAGACTGAGTTGGCGCCCGCCGGTCCAGGGGTGGCCTTCGTCCAGCAGTGGATAACAACCCCCCATTGCGCCACCACTCGGTACCGCGACAGTGAAAACACACGGCCACATTGGCATGCGCGAGATGTCTGCATCCATGTGTTAAGAGGTACGCGCCAATTAAAAGGGGAACTGATTTCTCACCCCAAAAAGAATGAGTTTCTAATGTACTACTGCTAATCCATGAAAGTAACTTTTTTTTAAACAGGCACAGTTCTAATTGCAATGGATGATGGTAGCTTCATATATGCACATAACTACTAAACAGCCTCTAAACCCTGAACAAAATTTTCTCTAAACCTCAACCATCGTTAACATAGTCTCTCTAAACCCCATACTAAACAGTCTCTATAAATGCCATACTCAAGTCTAAACCCCATACTAAACACAGTCTCATAAACCACATACGAAACACGGTCTCTCTAAACCTTGAGCTAAAAAAGTTTCTCTAAACCTCCTAACAAACAGGCTCTCTAAGCCCCGTACCAAACACAATCTCTTAAATTAAATATAAAAAAGAAATATTCTGCAGGGCTATTTCAGACACTTCCTTCCCAGATGTCTTCTCTTTGCTTGGCAACCAGCTTTTTCTTATCTGCCAAATACAAATAAACAAGCATAACTTGACACATTTTTCAATTACTCATTCAGGTTGAATATGCCGAAGGCGTTGTTAACATTGCATAACCTTGGTGCTCATTACACCAATCAGGTTAGAGCAGAGCTGTCAAACTCTGGCCATGAGCTCATATTTTATAAAACAAACTTTTTATTTGACCAGGTAAGGCCCACTGAGCGGTGTAGCTCTTTTTCAGAAGCGACCTGGCCACAAATTATAGCTCAACGAAGTGGCTTATATCATGGACATTTATCGTAATCAAATACTCTGAAGGTGTGTTAATTCTAAATGTGGAGGAAAAACGGGAGGACCTGTAGAAAAATCCACACGACCACGGTGAGAGAGACACGCAAATTCCAAATATACAGCAGGCGTCAGGGTCGGGATCGAACCCGCGACATCCTGCATACCAGGCGAGGGAGTTAACATCTTGCCACCGCTGCGCCCCCTACAACCGATTTATGTAACCGGTCAACCGGCATCATCCCCACTGCTTCTCCGGAGCAGCGCCTAGCGGCAGCTTTCCCAACGAATTTCTGACCATGTGGCTCTACGCGTCGCCTCCGCTGTGACGTGATGTGCGGAGGGGCAACTTGAGCATGGCTCGACGGGGCACTGCTGTGCACACTTTGATCTATGTACGTTTCTCGTCCGGTCCCTCGCCTGCCGCTTTATCTTAACGTATCTTATATTGCGCCTTAACCTAGGCGCTTTACAGAGAATAAAAAATGGTACATGTGAATGTAATGGTGGAGATGAGGTGAATAAATAGATGAGAGGAAGCAATGGGGGCAAATCTGTGATGTGTGAATTTACAAGAGTGGCAAGAAATATATAAGAGTAGCAAGATATGGTGGGGCAAGACCATGAAGGTATTTGTAGACCAGGGTGAGGAATTAGAACAGGTGGTAGACAGGGAGTCAATGCAGTTGTGCGAGGAGGGTCGAGGTAGGGGAATTGTAGGGGAGGTTGAATATGAGCCAAGCTGAGTTGTTTTGGATTTGTTGAAGGGGGACAAAAGAGTAAATGGGGAGACCGAGAATAATAAAGTTGCAGTAGTCCAGACGAGTGTTGATATGGGAATGGATGAGCAGTTTTGCAGCAGCGGTGGAAATAAGCAGTGGGATTTTGCGAATGTTGAACAAATTAAACCGGCGATCACGAGTGGTGGCGGAAATGTGATCGGTGAGGGAAGAGTCAAAGGTGCCAGCAAAGTTGTGGGCTGCGGAAATCGGGGACATGTAAACAGGAGGTAGAGAAATGGTGGGACAGCGAGGAGAGGAACGGGAGGCAGGCAAAAAGATAATTTGAGATTTGGAAGGGTTGATGGACAGAAAGTGATGTGGATTGAAGCCAGGTGGGATGAGATGCAGGAGGCGAGGCCCTTCTAGGAGTGCTCCTCTGTCAGCCACACTCTCAACAAAAACGTGTCGGAGCCTCGGGGTTTTTTCGGGTCCTTGGCCCTCAGATTTGGAACGCTGTCGGCCTGAGCAGCTGCGCCTGACTGCTGAGATTCTCCCATTTAGAAAGAAAACAAACAAGACAACCCAACTTACGTCCTCAGATGTGTGAGATAAACTCGAGAGATTTTGTTTTTAACGTACACCTCTCTGAAGACCTTTGCAGGGTCTGCTGCGCCTTATAAAAAAGTAAATAATAATAATGATGAATAATAATCTCTTCATCTTGGCGGGGTTTGTGTGTGGGTTTGTGTGTGGGTTTGTGCCGGGGTTTGTGTGTGGGTTTGTGTGTGGGTTTGTGCCGGGGTTTGTGTGTGGGTTTGTGTGTGGGTTTGTGGCGGGGTTTGTGTGTGGCGGGGTTTGTGTGTGGGTTTGTGCCGGGGTTTGTGTGTGGGTTTGTGTGTGGGTTTGTGGCGGGGTTTGTGTGTGGGTTTGTGGCGGGGTTTGTGTGTGGCGGGGTTTGTGCCGGGGTTTGTGGCGGGGTTTGTTTGTGGTGGGGTTTGTGTGTGGATTTGTGTGTGGGTTTGTGGCGGGGTTTGTGTGTGGGTTTGTGTGTGGGTTTGTGCCGGGGTTTGGGTGTGGGTTTGTGGCGGGGTTTGTGTGTAGGTTTGTGGCGGGGTTTGTGTGTGGCGGGGTTTGTGTGTGGGTTTGTGTGTGGGTTTGTGTGTGGGTTTGTGTGTGGGTTTGTGCCGGGGTTTGTGTGTGGGTTTGTGCCGGGGTTTGTGTGTGGCGGGGTTTGTGTGTGGCGGGGTTTGTGTGTGGCGGGGTTTGTGTGTGGTCGCGCGCTTGGCTCTCCAAGGGTGGGGTTTACGTAAAAAAAAAATAGCCAGGTACCACCCCGTAAGCCCTGCGGTGAGCAAGCGCTATTCCTTTTCCACATCCTTCAACTTTAAATTAGTTTAATTTGCGATTTAGCACGATTTTTGTGTGCTTTCTTCTTATTTATTTATTTATGACGCGTGCACGACCATACCAACTCGCGCGCCTTTGGTGGGGAGGACGGCCCATGCCAAGTCGCACGCCGTCGGTGGAAGTGAGGGGGACATTTTCTTTTGCGTTATAAATCCTATAAAAATACACTAAACGCTCAGGTAAATTCTTCACTGTCTCACGTCCCCCCCCACCCCGATGCGTCCAGCTATTTCTACTATACAGTCGGTAGATGCTACCATTATAGGCCATAGATATTATTGCAGAGCGGCCGGGGACATCGTGGCGGGGGGGGGGGTCAGGGGTAGCAGCCCTGCCCCAGCCTGCCAAGATGCCACCTCGGCCGGCACGACAATCTAGGCGAGGCCGGAGGCTCTGCACGGGACTACGCCTCACCACGCCACTCTGTCAAGTGAGTACTTTGTGCTATAGAGTCGATAAATACTGCTATACAGTCAGCATATACTACTGGAGTGATAGCAGGTACCACCACAGTCGGTATGCACTGATGTAATAATAGCAGGTACCACCACAGTTCCTATGCACTGCTGTAATCATAGCAGGTACCACCACAGTATGCATTGCTGCAGTGAAAGCAGGTACCACCACATGCACTGCTGTAATCATAGCAGGTACCACCACAGTCAGTACGCACTGCTGTTAGATTTTGAAGAGTACTTTTTAAATATTTTTAAGACCCAGGCAACGCCTGGTACTTCCCGCTAGTTGTATATAATTTGGAATATTGGATAATTCGGCAAGGCCAGAGCCCCATATTTGTTGAATTAACAAGGGTTGACCTTATATGTGAACTTGCGCTGCTGCAGGTAGGACTGCTGCTGCTACTGAATCAGGAGCCAGGTGAGTGTCAGCAGCGGTGGCGCTCACCTTTGGCTTCCTGGAGTTTGCGGCGCTCAGCGGAGCGCTGCTCGGGGGAGGCGCCGCTCCGCACGCCCAGCGCTCCGGCCACGAGGCGGCGTGCCAGCACCGCGCTCGTCTGGGGCCGCGGCCTCACAGGCTGCAGGAACTCTACAACGTAGCACAAACACAAAAACCCCGAAGAGATCTTCAGCAGACCGCTGGGACAAGGGCTGTGAGCCGGACAGCACCTATGGAGGGTACCGCCACGGCACACGAGGGGGTGGGTGGTTTGGGTGGCCGGCACCCCACCCGTCCGCCTTTGTCTCCCCACAGTGGCGATGCTTTACGCATTGCACCTAGGTCAGGCCCAGGAGCGGTTCAGGTAATGTTCAGATAATCGTCACTTGTATAAATGTCCACGTGATAAGCCACTTCATTGAGCTGCCATTTGTGGCCAAGCAGCTTCTGAAAAAGAGCTGTGTAGCTCAGTGGGCCTTACCCAGTAAAATATAAATAAGGCAGTCAAACTTGATTTGAAGCTTTCGTGACGACAGGAATTACTCTTTGGTTATTTCGGTAATTATTTTCTTTTCTTTCTACGTGACTTTACCGAAAGAACCAAAGAGTAATTCTAGATTTGAAGCTTTCGTGACTGCAAAGATTCATATTCTTAGGTTTTTTCGGTTAAGTCACGTAAGTAAAACATCAAAATAAAAATAAAATAAAAATAAAAAATCACGACGTTTCGGAGGCAACACAAGTCTCCGTCATCAGGTGGGACCGTCACAGCCGGATTAGCTGCATCAAGTGAGGCAATGATTCAAGATGTAATCCCTTAAAAAGGCAAGTTGAGGGGGAGGAGAGGGGGGGGGGCTCATCAGAATGTGATAGCCAATGAATGGAACGCATCGGGAGGGGGAGGGGGGGGGGCGGGGCCAAAAGACTGCACGTCGGCGTGGACACTGTTGGTGTTGCACAACGCAACGGGAGGGGGAGGAGGGGCGGGGCCAAAGAATGCACGATGGCATGGGTGCTGTTGGTGTTGCACAACGCCAACGCATTAGACAGAGAGGGGGAGGCCTGATACACATGATAGAAAAAAGAACGAAAATGCCCATGTTTATACCAATTCTGGCTGAACAATGAAGAGAGTACTGTTAAACACTGGGGATGTTAACACTCGGTAAAGTAAAGTAAGATAGTGCCTGTCAGATAAGATGGTCCAAAAAGGTGTAATTAAGTCTTTTTTTTTTTTGCGTGGTTGATAACATCTTTCCAATGATTACTAAGTTTGTACCCCTCATCACGGTTGAAATTATGTCTGTGTTTGTATATTTGTATGGCTTCGTGTACAAACCTTTGATGGTAGCCGGGAGGTTTGCAGAGAACCTTGGTCTCGGAAAAGACAATTTCATGAGAGCCCGCCGAGTTGTAGCAATAATCGGCAACGGCCGAAGAATCAGTTCTGCCGTGTTTCAGATCTGACTTGTGCTCGCGGACACGATCAGCAACATGACGTTTTGTTTCTCCAATGTAGCAATCACCACAAATGCAACTCTGATTCCATCTGTGAAGGATGTCGTTCCTGACTTACAGCATCCTGGAGTCTAAAAATTGAGTTGCATTTGTGGTGATTGCTACATTGGAGAAACAAAACGTCATGTTGCTGATCGTGTCCGCGAGCACAAGTCAGATCTGAAACACGGCAGAACTGATTCTTCGGCCGTTGCCGATCATTGCTACAACTCGGCGGGCTCTCATGAAATTGTCTTTTCCGAGACCAAGGTTCTCTGCAAACCTCCCGGCTACCATCAAAGGTTTGTACACGAAGCCATACAAATATACAAACACAGACATAATTTCAACCGTGATGAGGGGTACAAACTTAGTAATCATTGGAAAGATGTTATCAACCACGCAAAAAAGACTTAATTACACTTTTTTGGACCATCTTATCTGACAGGCACTATCTTACTTTACTTTACCGAGTGTTAACATCCCCAGTGTTTAACAGTACTCTCTTCATTGTTCAGCCAGAATTGGTATAAAAATGGGCATTTTCGTTCTTTTTTTTCTATCATGTGTATCAGGCCTCCCCCTCTCTGTCTAATGCGTTGGCGTTGTGCAACACCAACAGCACCCATGCCATCGTGCATTCTTTGGCCCCGCCCCTCCTCCCCCTCCCGTTGCGTTGTGCAACACCAACAGCGTCCACGCCGACGTGCAGTCTTTTGGCCCCGCCCCCCCCCTCCCCCTCCCGATGCGTTCCATTCATTGGCTACCACATTCTGATGAGCCCCCCCCCTCTCCTCCCCCTCAACTTGCCTTTTTAAGGGATTACATCTTGAATCATTGCCTCACTTGATGCAGCTAATCCGGCTGTGACGGTCCCACCTGATGACGGAGACTTGTGTTGCCTCCGAAACGTCGTGATTTTTTATTTTTATTTGATGTTTTACTTACGTGACTTAACCGAAAAAACCTAAGAATATGAACCAAAGAGTAATAAGGTAGTCGTTAGTATTATCGTTATTCATTGCAAAGTCAGCCTCCTTAAGCGAGGCGTTGGCAAGGCGAGCGAACTCCGCGGCGGTGCTGCTAACCAGGGTTGCGGCGGGCCTTGTCGCGCGTCGGGCTGCTCGCCCGGCAGAGAGGGCGCGTCCTCACCAGCGCGTGCTTCATCGCCAGCGCGTCTTGAGCTGTGCACAGCACCACGCGGACCGCAGCGCACGTTAGGCTCGACGCGCGACGTTTGTGTGGCCCCGTGGGTTTTGGGCGAGGCTGTGCATGTGGCAGAGTGACATTTCTGTTTTCTGGGATCACTCAATTGGTTAGTTTTGGTGTAAAAGTCAACGGCAGAGAATTATCATTCCGATTTATTGATATTCTTCTTCTCTGGGTCTATGCCTCTACCATTATTCCGTGTGCATCGACTGTCATGCATGTCTAACTCCGTTGAGCACCCGGTACATATATATTGAGGGATTGTCTCTAAACTCGCACTGGCTTCAGTTTAACGACAAACAAATAAAACCAGGAGGCGTGACCTTGAGAATGAGAAACTTTGAGTGGCACCCAAGGTCATGTAATCATCAGTGATGGAGGGATTACACAACAACATTAAGCCAGATCGTAACGTGGCCCAACCCAACAATGATTATGAAGAACCCATTAGTCATGCTTTGTGGATTGTTATAAACATCCGTGTTGTCATCAAATAAAATCACGAGTACATGTGATATTCCCGCCATCGTTCCTATAGCACAGGGCTTTTATAAAGGAAGGTGCCGCTATGTTTCACATACACAGCCTGCAGTTGTTTCACAATAGGGGTGGCGATGTTGCTGCTGTGTATGTTCTTTAGCTAGTAGTTTTATGCCAACATTCTTAGCGAGATTGCCTACTTCCACACCTGAGGATGCCCGCAGTAAGTAAAGTAGTCCCTCAGTTAACAGTGACATATGTTAACGGTTTTTGCGGTTAACATTTCGCCTCCCATATGATTCCATGGTTTCAACAAACGTTAACATGTTGACTCACGGTATATTTACGTTATGCACGCAGGGCGGCAATTTCGGCCAATCCGAGCGCACGTAAGTGGGGCTGAGCCATGTCCTCAGCCAATCAACGACACCCATGTATGAGCAGTTTAGACCTCGACTTGGCTTTGTTTACATTATAACCTTTTCTGTTTTGGCAGTGGAAAAGCTCTCTTGCAGACTCGGTGATTTTTTATTTTTAAACTTATAAGTGAATTCGATTCAAGTTATTTCAGTTCACAGTAGTTTTCGTGGAACGGATTCGAAACGTTAACCAAGGGACTCTTGTAGCGCATGGCAAAAGCCCAGGAGAATAAATGCTTTAACACGCAGCCTGACCCACGTGAATTTCCCGCCTGTTTGTAATTGCTGAGGATCCACAAGAGAGCAGTGCTGCCTCTTCTTGACCGTGCAGGCCACAGCATTCTCCAGCACCCTCTTGGTTGCAAATAATAAGAGTTCTCTGTCCCTGGAATCTTGCTAGGGCGATGGTAACGGTGACGACGATGATGGGAGACACGTCTGAATGTGCCAGCGAGGAGGCTCTATCGCTCAGCCACATCGCGGCACGGTGGTGGCGGCACAGTGGTAATACTCGTCACTCGCAGCCAGAAGGGGCCTCGGTTCGATTCCCAACTCGGGCGCCTTTCTGTGTGGAGCTCTTCTCCTGTTCTCCGTGGGTTTCCTCTGGGTTCTCTGGTTTCCTCCCATAGCAAAAAAACCCACCACATAATGAAACTGTTTCCATAACATGCTCCCTGGACAGAAGCTCCCTTCTTCACTCTGCTGTCTGGATACTGAACAGCCTCCCTGAACACATTGTTGGCAAAATCACCTGTTCTGGTCTTCAGGCCTTCAAATGCTGAGCACACACATTGGACATCTCCTAACTTCACCACACGCCTTGTAGGGACTCAGTCTTTGAGCTGCAGTGAACCAATGATTATGCCGATTAGATTTACTCATGCACGATACGGCTCTTGTTCACAATTGCACCCAATAACAAAAACGTGGTGCCTGGATTGTGGAACTCATGCCAAAGGCTGTCCGGGACCTTTCAAGTCCCACCTAAAATCATTTCCCTTTCAGAAGGCGTTTATTATTTTAACTTGGTCACTTCTTACCCGTTCCCCTCCTTGTCACCCATGCAAATCGCCTTGAGATATCATGATGGAAGGTGCTCTATAAGTTGCAATTATCATTAATATTAACCGGTATTGGCCAAACATTCCAATGCTGAAAAATTACTCAATTGGGATTACACGCAGCGACATCGCCTCCGACAGTGAAAACGTGGCAAGACCCTCCTGACAAAAGAGAGTTGACATTTGACGAGACTTTGCCGAGCGAACAAGCAGCGATGACGGTAAGAGAAAAAAATTCCGGTAAGCAGAGCGAGAGAGACATTGGCAGAGAGAGGGGAACACACCGGCGATGGGACTGTTGAACAGGCCGAGCGCGTGCTCGTCGTCCACCCACTTCACGTCGAAGCCCCTCGACCTGCGGCGCACACGGCACAAGTGGCACACATGACACATGGCACAAGTGGCACACACGACACATGGCACATACGACACATGGCACATACGACACATGGCACAAGTGGCACACACGGGACATGGTACGCACACGGCACATGGCACACACGGTACATATGGCACGCACGGTACGCACGGCACACGGGAACCACCGCTGCAGCAACCTGCCGTGACAGCGGCCCCAGGCCGACGCGCAGCTCGGTCACGCCTAGCCCTGTCGTAAACTCGCGACATGCTTGAACACGTCCACGTACATCCCGGGGCAAAGCTCACGAGCGTACTTGGTGCCATGTGCGTAAACATACGCACATGTATGTGTGTATGTACGTTGAACTTCTTTAGCACCGTAAGTAGCCACCCACGCTAATCGGAGGTGCGAGAGAAGGACAACAAACTAAACACAAAAAGCAGTTATAAGAAATTAGTTTTCTATCTAGATGATTTAAAAGTGCACAGCTTCCAGTGGCTTACTAATATCGCAAGGATATTAGAAAGCCACTGAGCTAGCCAAAAGCGGCTGTGAGGATGACCGGAGTTCGTGTGGTAATGGTTTAAAAAAAACTGACAGCCATTAAGGGAGGAATGCTCCCGATATATCTGAGTGAAGCTGCACCATTGTCAATAAGAAGTGGCTCGTTCACTTGTGGTGAATTCATTGACCGAGGAAAGTGACCACCATGACCGCGAATCTTGCAGCACAGCGGTTGTGCATTCGCAACTCCTCGCAGAGGTGCACCGTTCAAATTCCGGCAGGACACCCGGTTATTACTTTGCAATGTATTATCACACACTAAGTGCCATCTACTTCACAGTGGACATTAAAGATCCCCCTGATGTAATTCAAATTAAGTAACAGGCCATTGTTTGATGTCATCATAAACTATATATTTTATTTTACTACGTAAAGCCCATTGGCTTTTATTGCTATTTTCCAGAGGCGAGCTGGCCACAAGTGGCTTATCATATGGACATTTATAGCAGCCAAAATACTCTATATACCTGTTTCTAAATGTGTAGGGAAAAACCGGAGGACCCGGAGAAAAATCAGCACGACCACAGGGAGAACACGCAAACTCCAAATATGCAAGCGTCGGGGTCGGGATTGAACCTACAACTTCCTGTATACCAGGTGAGGTAGTTAACATCTCACCACCGTAGGTGTAAAGCACCCTGAGATTATAAATCTAAGCATTCTCTGTAGGCTTTCGACTCGGAATGTTCAAGTTCAAATTAATTTCATTTTAACCGGGTGAGAACTCAACAGACCAGGAGTATGCTACTGGACTATGTACTGGAAGGCGGAAAACGCCGAGATGAGGTCCTCGGTGCGGAAGCCACTTGGGAAGCCGTAGATCTCCAGGACGTGGCCAAAGTCGCCATCATCCCAGCCGGGCTCTGCTGGCCGGTAGCCATAGTAGTCGAACTGCGGCTCCTGAAGCGTCGTCACCGTCTCCGGCTTCAGGTTGCCTGCGAGCTAAACAACAGAAAGAGACCCAACATCGATCAGTGAACTACCAATGGTTGACATCATCGAGCGGACAATTCGCCACCTAAACCATGCGACCTAGCTATTGTGTAGCGCTGTTGCGCGAGGCTCGCCGAGTACATATGTAGTGAGTCCAACTGAGTCGCAGACATTGTCTTGGGAGCAACACTATTTATTACACCAACTCAACACACAACATAACGTAACCTACACTTGGATGTTGAACGCCCATCTAACCACGCTACGGCAGAACTAGACACAGTCCCGCTATCCTGGTCCGGACCACGAGCTGGGTCCCAGACTGCGTGGCTAGAGGCTTCTTCAACCCGACGTGGATCTTCTTTACCAACAACCCGAAGAACCCCGAGCCCCTCACGGGGCCCCGCTATATCGGCCTGGGCTGGAGCTGGCTCCGCCCCTCGCCCCGCCCACCTTCTAGATCTCTCGAGCGCTTTCCCGAAGGTTCCCGAGAGCTCCTTTATACAGTGAGGGAAAAAAGTATTTGATCCCCTGCTGATTTTGTACGTTTGCCCACTGACAAAGATATGATCAGTCTATAATTTTAATGGTAGGTTTACTTGGACAGTGAGAGACAGAATAACAACAAAATCCGGAAAAAACGCATGTCAAAAATGTTATAAATTGATTTGCATTTTAATGAGGGAAATAAGTATTTGATCCCTCTGCAAAACATGACTTAGTACTTGGTGGCAAAACCTTGTTGGCAATCACAGAGGTCAGACGTTTCTTGTAGTTGGCCACCAGGTTTGCACACATCTCAGGAGGGATTTTGTCCCACTCCTCTTTGCAGATCTTCTCCAAGTCATTAAGATTTCTAGGCTGACGCTTGGCAACTCGAACCTTCAGCTCCCTCCACAGATTTTCTATGGGATTAAGGTCTGGAGACTGGCTAGGCCACTCCAGGACCTTAATGTGCTTCTTCTTGAGCCACTCCTTTGTTGCCTTGGCCGTGTGTTTGGGGTCATTGTCATGCTGGAATACCCATCCACGACCCATTTTCAATGCCCTGGCTGAGGGAAGGAGGTTCTCACCCAAGATTTGACGGTACATGGCCCCGTCCATCGTCCCTTTGATGCGGTGAAGTTGTCCTGTCCCCTTAGCAGAAAAACACCCCCAAAGCATAATGTTTCCACCTCCATGTTTGACGGTGGGGATGGTGTTCTTGGGGTCATAGGCAGCGTTCCTCCTCCTCCAAACACGGCGAGTTGAGTTGATGCCAAAGAGCTCCATTTTGGTCTCATCTGACCACAACACTTTCACCCAGTTGTCCTCTGAATCACTCAGATGTTCATTGGTAAACTTCAGACGGGCATGTATATGTGCTTTCTTGAGCAGGGGGACCTTGCAGGCGCTGCAGGATTTCAGTCCTTCACGGCGTAGTGTGTTACCAACTGTTTTCTTGGTGACTATGGTCCCAGCTGCCTTGAGATCATTGACAAGATCCTCCCGTGTAGTTCTGGGCTGATTCCTCACCGTTTTCATAATCATTGCAACTCCACGAGGTGAGATATTGCATGGAGCCCCAGGCCGAGAAAGATTGACAGTTCTTTTGTGTTTCTTCCATTTGCGAATAATCGCACCAACTGTTGTCACCTTCTCACCAAGCTGCTTGGCGATGGTCTTGTAGCCCATTCCAGCCTTGTGTAGGTCTACAATCTTGTCTCTGACATCCTTGGAGAGCTCTTTGGTCTTGGCCATGGTGGAGAGCTTGGAATATGATTGATTTCTTCTGTGAACAGGTGTCTTTTATACAGGTGTGGTGGTCATGATTGACACACATGCGCCACAACCAGGGGGAGGGGTAGAGGTAACAAGCTGAGATTAGGAGCACTCCCTTTAAGAGTGTGCTCCTAATCTCAGCTCGTTACCTGTATAAATGACACCTGGGAGCCAGAAATCTTTCTGATTGAGAGGGGGTCAAATACTTATTTCCCTCATTAAAATGCAAATCAATTAATAACATTTTTGACATGCGTTTTTCTGGATTTTTTTGTTATTATTCTGTCTCTCACTGTTCAAATAAACCTACGATTAAAATTATAGACTGATCATTTCTTTGTCAGTGGGCAAACGTACAAAATCAGCAGGGGATCAAATACTTTTTTCCCTCACTGTACCACATGACCGCCCAGCGGCCCCCGTCCACTGGTGATCCCCCTCCAATATCATCCGGTCACGTGTCAGCTGGTCAATCAGCGTATCATGCCCCAATGTAACCCTGGCTGGCTGACGCTCCCTCTCGCTCCCTCACCGCATACTGTACGTGGTGCCTCCGCACTAACCAGCGCTCACCCAAGCCCCGCAAGGGCTGGAACTACGCCCAGTAACTGGGCTGCACATAATGACAACACATTATCCGCTGTGGCTTCGCAAGTCTGGCACTACATAGTGACATTCAGTCACTACACATATGATGGAAACAACTCGACGTGCAACGTGGCTAAGCAGGGCGATACGCCTCCTCTTCCACATGTCTGTTCCTCGACGTTACACATCCCATCAACCGCTCGGCTTTCTGGGAGTGCGTATTTTATCAACGTTGGTTGTGAACACAATAAAAACTCTGGACCGATTATGAAATTCGGGTATGATCAACAATGAAGCTTGCTTGAACCAATCCCGGAGAACTGCCAGACTTTTATTGGTAAGTACCCTTTCTGTTAGGGTGTCATGGTAGAAAGATGTTAACTACCTCGCCTGGTATACAGGAGGTCGTGGGTTCGATGCTGACCCCTGTATATTTGGAGTTTGTGTGTCTCTCTCCCCATGGTCGCATCCATTTGTCTCCGGGTCCTCCAGTTTTTCCCTCCACATTTATTGGCTGCAATATATTTCAACACGATAAGCCACTTCGTTGAGCTATCATTTATAGCCAGGTCATTTCTGAAAAAGAGATACACAGCTTTTTAAAGTAAAGGCATAGTGGGTAAGGTTGCTTTGACGATAGAAAGCGATCTTATGTGGTGGTGAAAATACACACGGAGATTATGTGTTCATACTATAAAAAATTACAAGTTTTTTTTACCCTTTCTGGCAATGAAAGAGGTGTTAAGATGTTAAAACACCAAGTAGATACCTTTTTCAAGGAATAAAGTCTGCATTAACCACACGTACTTGTGGTAAAACACACGAAGAAACATGCTCAGATAACATAACAATTAGAAGCCGACCGAAAGTAGGTTTCGGTTTCGGCGCCGAAAGTTGGCAAATGGCCTCTTTCGGCATAGTTTCGGTTTCGGCATAGTTTCGGTTTTGGCCGAAAGTACATTTTTAACTTTCGGTTTTGGCCGAAAGTAAATCTGTAACTTTCAGTCGAAACCAGAAATTCAGTTTCGGTCGGCCTCTAATAACAATAGGTTTTACGAATTTTGATACTGGCAAGAAAGGTCCCATAATGCTCTGCTAATGTATGCATTGTCTTTGAAACCGATTGGCCTACACCAGATAAAGCCTTCCTTATGGCCTAGTCTCAGCTGTGTCAGACCAGACAACGGTAAAATGCAAACAGTACAAAGACAATGCACGTATCAGAGCATGTATAGCTTGGGTTGAGCAGCTATATCATAGGGCCGTTTTTGCCAGTGTAAAAGTATGAAAAAAAGGAATTTTATTGTCAGAAAGGGTAAAACTTATTCTTCATTTTCATCTTTTGATACTGACAAAAAAGGTCCCGTAGACATGTGTACGTACTGTAAACTAGCCGCAAAAACCCACTGTGCGTGGTACGGCAGTGGTCGCCCTTGCACCGAAGAGCGCGGTGCGACACGCGGCGTGTGACGTGCGTCTCGCTGCACATACGGCGAGCGTTCATACGTGCGGCGAGCGTTCATGCGTGCGTCATCACCTCCTGCATCAGTTGCCCATCCAGGCACTCTCCGCTGTCATCGAACATGGCGTCCCAGCTGTCCTCCTGCTGCTCCTCCTCACCTCCATCCCCGCCACTCGCAGCTCCCCCCGCATTTCCCCTCGCATCTCCTCCCGCATCTCCCCCCGCATCTCCTCCCGCATCTCCCCCCACATCTCCTCCTGCATCTCCTCCCGCTTCTCCTCCCACAGCTACTCCCACCACTGCCGGTAGAGCGGCATCACACGTGACGACCGGGGCAGCCACCTCCGACAAGCAATGAGCATCGCCGACTTCCACCACACAGCGGGACCGTAACTCTTCTGCAAGGGACAGTGGTGTGGCAGGTACAAGACCCTTTGCTGGAGTTTTATTCGATAAATCATCATCGTCATCATCCCAGTTGTCTTTGGTAGTGATGGGTGGGCTGTTTGGATTTTCATCTGCCTCCGCTGCTAAAAGCTGCTTCTCACAGCCAGGCACATTGGCAGACCGCGAGCACTGGGAGTCGGCCTGCGAGGGCACGGCTGGCGATGCCCTACGGTCGCCGTGTAGTGCAGGGTCCACGTCGCTGTCTCCTGGCGCGTTGGCGGCACCGCAGGCGACTCGCGCCTCCACGGCACTCCGGCGGCCGCTGTGGGAGCGCGCGGCGTCCGCGTCGTCGGCCTCACGGACGTCCGTATCCCCTGGCAAGCGTTTGAACTCGACGGAGCCGGGCGGCGCCTCGTCGTTTGACACCCGTAAAACATTTAGGGGCAAGGATGGAGTGGCATCGTTTGAATTATCATCATCACTGCCCTGCACGGAGCCGTGCTCGTTCGCAAAACCCATTCCCCCGAGATCGGCGCCCATTCCCACGGAATCGCTCGGCGTTGGCGCAACTTCGCCGGCGCCCTCCGCGACCGTCGTGTCGCCGCGTCGCGCCGCGCTCCTCCTGGCGACATCCCTGCGGTCGTGTGTCGACCCCCGCCGACTCGTTTTGGTTTTTGTGGACGCCCTCTCCGCTGCGGCGGCGGGTGTGGCAGCCGTGCCGTCCGCGTCGCCTCCTTGCCGCGCACGCCCCCCCACCACCGCCCCCCCTGCCACGGCCTCCTCCGGCACATCGCCACCGCCGCCGCCCTCCCCATTCTCGGCGGCACCCTCGTGCCTCCGCCCCCGCGGTACGTACAGCTGGATGTCCGGTCGCTTCTGGCGCCTGCGTGCCGGGTTGCCCACGCTCCTCCTACCCTCCATGCCGATTCTACCGCCGCCCGCAACCCTCGCGCCTTCGCCCGCTCCGGCAGCTCGGGTCGACGCGGTCGGAGCTTCTGAACAAAAATATCCGCTGCGGTTTGACGGTTCACCGACTTGTGGAGTGCACCTGAAACCAACCAAACATCCCGATTTGTACATCATAACTAAGCAGACAACATGCCTCCTTCAAGCATTTTCCATTTATGTAAAAAATTTAAAAAATGTTTTTACACATCCCATCAGCCCCACTTGTCTCATCAGCAGTCAGGCTTGAACTAATGTTGATGGACCGCCCGATTTTTAAAGGCAAGGCACCGTCTCTGTGAGATATGGGTCCCAGTTCAACGAATGGTACCAAAGGTTTTCATTAATACACGGCCGTTGGGTGATATAGTAACTGATATACTCAGGGTGGAGCAGTGGTGCAGTGACTGGCGCACTGCACTATGAACCTGGTGACTTGAGTTTGATTCCCGACCATGGCTAACATTAGTGGCGAGTGATCGCTGAACCAGTCATGGAAACTTCTCCTTCACCACCTACCCACACTGACCAGCATGGCGAGGGATGGTCAATCAAACCTTCACAGCTGACGAGGCATAGGGACGCCTCTACACAGCAATCGACTGATACGAGCATGGCAAGGACGTGAGAATACAAGGATGTGCCACCATGCATGTGCAGCGACATCGTTGCACGTCGCTGTGTGTGGCCAGCCTGGGAAAGGCACGCTATGCAACACATTGCCACTGCGGACACCGCTGAAGGGGGATGCAGTACCGGCCCTAGCGGGGCTCGGGCAGCACTGTCCGACAGGCAAGGATGACACCCCGCTTTACGAGCAGTGCCAGCCCCTACAGGGTAGGGGGCGAGAGTGCCGGCCTCGGAGCGAGGTTTCAGGGGGCCATGGCACTCTGGTTGACCTTGGAGGACACGTGACCAGAGGTGTCTACCCAGGGACCCCCAAAGGGGGGGCTGGGGGGACCACGTGTCCAGTGGAGAGCCTCCTCGAGAGTTCGAGAAGGGGGTCGTGGTTAGGGGCAGAGTGAGCCCCGCCACACAGGATAAAAAGCTGGGTTCCCAGTGGAACTGGCTGCTGTTGTCTTTATGAAGAAATCTACGTTCTACGCCGAGTCTCCAACACATCCGGACCCGAGTTGGGGTTTGGTCCGCTGTAGCTAAACCAGAGTGTTAGGGTAGCTAGCCTGGTGGTCCACCACCATAGGTTATCTGGTAAAGGGGCAGTTACCGCTTTGTGTTAATAGTGTTGGTGTTACGTTAATAAATGTGTTGCCTCCAATAGTAAGCCTGAGTCTCCGTCTGTACCCACTACACGTGCGCAAGAGTACAAGGGAAATGACTTGAGAAGTAGATCGGTGACAACTTCCAATTTCTCTTCTCAAACACAGCGGGAAGCATTATATACGGGTGTGTATATGTTGAACTTCTTTCGCACCGTACGTAACCAATCGTGCTAATGGGAGGTTAGCACGCTTGGCTAATGAAAGGTTAGCACGCTTGACTACTCTCTGGGAGAGTTGCAAATGTCATTTTGTTGTTCATCTGAGGAGCGCCAGGGTGGCAGCGCAGTGGTAGAGCTTGTGCCATGCAGTATGGAGCAGCAAAGTTTGATTCCGGACTTGGGCATCTTTGTGTCTGGAGTTTGTGTGTTCTCCCTCTGTTCTGAATCGGTTTCCTCGGGGTTCTCTCATTTCCTCTGACTGTAAAAACCACCACATTCGTTGTGATTGACATTATTGGCTGAACATCCCAATACAGAAGTCTCCCACGATACATAACGCACAATACAGCAACTTACCGCGGGAACAATTCCTGTATTTAAACATCACCTGCCAATGACTACATTTGGACTGCGCATAGCCAAGTCGCCCTCTACTGCAAAAATACGTTGACAAGAGCCTCGTGAAACAAGAGTCTTGAGACTCAGCAAGGCCTTCCGTGATAACAAGCACGGTAACAGGAGTCCCCTCAGTTAACAGTGACATAATCGGTTAACAATTTTTTCGGTTAACGTCTCGCCTCCCATAGGACCCCATGGTTTCGACTAACGTTAACATTTTAACTAACAGTAAGTTTTCATTATGCACATGGGGCGCCAATTTTGGCCAATCTGAGCGCTCGTAAGTGGGGTTGAGCCGTGCCCTGAGCTAATCAGCGACGCCCATTTATGAGCGTTTAGACCTCGACTGGCTTTAATTCTAGATTTGAAGCTTTCGTGACTGCAAGGATTCAAACTCTTAGGTTTTTTCGGTAAAGTCATGTAGGTGAAAAATCTAATTAAAATTTATCAAAGTAATAATAGAAAAACAATAATTTCTATTATTATTTTTATTAATTTTAATTTTATTTTTCACCTACGTGACTTTACCGAAAAAACCTAAGAGCTCGACTGGCTTTGTTCACATTATAACGTTTTCTGTTTTGGCAGTGGAAACAGCTCTCTTGCAGACTCGGTGATTTTTACTTATTTTTAAACTTATTCATAGTGAATGCAATGTTTCTATTAATATTAATCCTTTAATATGTTTAAATGTTTATTTATTAATATTGAGTGTTTAAATGTTATAAACTATGTTTTTAGGGTAAAAAAAGGTAAACTTCCAATCGTCTTGGAACGGATTAATGCTTTTAACACATAATTCCTATATTCGATTTAACAGTTATTTCCGTTAACGGTAGTTTTCGTGGAACAGATTAAAAACGTTAACCGAGGGATTACTTTTCGATTTAAAGCTTTCGTGACTGCAGGGATTCATCTTCTTGGTTCTTTCGGTAAAGTCACGTAGAAGGGAAGTAATACCTTATACATTGTAATATTACACTATGTATTATTCTACCCACCCTAATGTATATCACACTGCTGTATATTCACTATACAATTACGATACTATATATTACTTTGTACATTGTATTAAGCATATGAATTTTATACTATTTGTTATTATACACTGTACCATTGACCGTCGTTGATGCATGCTAATCCTGCATAATGCACGGGCATAAGTAGTACTAATCACATGCCTGCATTTCCAATATCCCCTCCCTTTGATGCTGCTAATCCTGCATAATGCACGGGCATAAGTAGTACTAATCACATACCTGCATTTCCCATATCCCCTCCCTTTGATGCTGTTAATCCTGCATAATGCACGGGCATAAGTAGTTCTAATCATATACCTGCATTTCCCATAAATATGCTAAATTCCTCTTGATATGCAAATTCTTTTGTCAAGGCGCCCTTTCCCCCCCTTCCAACCCAGCTTAAATATATGCTCCAAGCATGGTGCTGTTTCATTCAGACGCTGTCGCCTCGACAAACCTGGTTTTCACCTGACGGCTGCTTGCATTGTGGCCGAAACGTCGTGAGAATTATTTTATTATGTTTTATTTTTATTATTTTATTACTTCCCTTCTACGTGACTTTACCGAAAGAACCAAGAAGACGAGGGATTACTGTAATACTAATAGGAGTAGCACAGAGTAAAGGCTGGGGTGGGACTGTACCGCAGGTCTCTGTGGCAGACGACGGTGCGGCGCTGGCTGCCGACGCCGATGGAGAAGCTGCTGAGATGTTTGTGGCGCCCCACGGCCGTGTGGGTGAGGAACCGGCAGCGGCTGCTCAGCGGTGGGAACACCAGCACCCTGCACACAACCCCCCCCGCCACGTAGAGCGCACCACAAAGCTTGGGTGCAGTTCATGAATCGCATTGGCCTTGATCTATCCTGCACGCTGTCTGACTCGCGTAGCGAGAGTGCCCACGAGAAAGGAATAGGGAACTTCCACCACTGATTCAGAGAAGAGCAAATCGCTCAGAATTGTTTGATCTATCCACTGCTGGGCGATAGCCTACCTCCCCAACCCTTCGCAATCTCTCACAGTATTGCGGCGCGGTAATTATTCCAAAGCCCAGCGCATGAGCTGATTTCATCGCTCCGTCTCCACGGTGGATGTATTCTCGGGATCGTGTTCCCTCCCTTGGCTGCTACTGTCGTTAGCCTCGACCCACCGGCCATCGTCGTGTCTAGGGATGTGTCCTCCCCAAGCCAACTCGGCTTTCTTAACAGCAAGCATGACGTCTCTGCTTGCATAACATGTTCCCATGTCCCCAAGGGTAAAGCTGACACTCGAGCCAAACGTAACATAGTTGGCAGCGATGGACATGCCGCACACACCACAACTTCTCATTAAATCGTTCAGAATGCATTTGATTGACGCCAGCAGAATGAGTTTCTTTCCAGACAAGATTTGAACTCGTAATCTGCTCTAGATTGTAAAGCAGAATGCCACTGTTCCACCCTTCCAAGGGCCGAGCTGACTCCACAAGCATCGTGGAGCGGCCACTACCTTCGTTATTTCAGGCAAGTGCTGACATGCTCCCTGCTCTGCACGGCGTCAACGTGCGGGTCGCACGGTGTGCATCCGCGATGCATTTGGAGCATCATGAGCAGCGCCACAGACAAGCGGCGCAGGCATTTCCATTTCTCCCAATGTCGCGTGTCGTAAATCACACGAACACAGTTTCTTTCAGAAGCGGCCTGGCCATCACAAATTATGGTTCAACGGAGTGGCTTATCATGTGGAAATTTATAGCAGCCAAATACTCTAAACGCATGTTGAATCTAAACGTGGAGGGGAAAAAAAACGGGGAACCCGGAAAAAAATCCACGCGACCACGGGGAGAGACATGCAAACTCCAAATATACAGGCATCAGGCAGGGTTGGGATCGAACCCATGACTGTATCAATCACCACCACTCAACTTATGCTTAGGGGCCATGATTAAAGAGTGAGACCACGTGAGTGCTGGGGACGAACGCACACACTACTTGTTGGCGCAGGGAATGAGTATCTTAGCGGCGAAATATCGTCCCCCGTGTTCGGGAAAACAGACCTCATCAAGTAAACCGTGCATAGTCGAAACACGCATTGGATAAAACCCTCTACAATTACAACTTTGAGAGACATTTTGGGTTCAGAACTTGCTTGCTCAGCAACTCCGTTAAATTAAATATAAACTGGAGCCCCACATTCCAACTCACCAGCTCTGACAACACTGCGGAGATGCATTCCTTCTCCGTTCTCACCTGTATTTTTTAAGGGACAGCTGCTGAGTGAACAGCTCAAGGTCTTGGTGAATCTTTTCTAACAATTCTCGATCGTGCTGTCCAATGTAAGTGCCATCAATGTACAACGATGCCAGCGTGAAACCCCCTAGGGTAAATCGGACAGAACGAAACAAGCACAACACGTGTTAGACAGCTTAATTAAAGGTCACCAAATGCAGTAGACTCTCGATTATTCGCGCGTGGTTTATCCAAATGGCAGCTTATGCACGCACCAGAGATTTTCACATTAATTATTAAATAATAGATTTTCCCTTAAGTCCAAATTACTCATCTAAAAACATTGATACATTGCTATTCTTGGAAATATTTATTACAAGTCACATGCTTAAACCGAACAAATATGTGCTCCGGTTAATCCGAAAACCACGTGATCGCTACTACAGCACAGGAGTTGCATATCTTTACAACAGTGGACGGAGTTTGATTGATGTTGATTGCTGTGGCTCTGCTGCTGTCCACTTAGTGGGCCGAGTCTTCTGAGCGGGACCAGGAAAGTGTTATCATTGAGCACGCGCATCGATCGGTCTATTGATATTCGTGGTTTTTGGCAGAGATCCACATAAAATGAATGTTTTTGTACTCCTAGGTTTTTTCGGTAAAGTCACGTAGGTAAAAAAATTAAATAGAAATTAAATAATAAATCACGACGTTTCGGAGGGAATACAAGTCTCCATCATCAGGTGGGACCGTCACAGCTAAATTTACTGTATCAAGTGAGGAAAATCCAAGAGACAAGCGCTTAAATACAAGGGGGAGGGAAGGAGGGGCTTATCTGAATGTGGTAGCCTCGGGAATGGAACGTGTTGGGGGGGGTGGACGGGGCTAAAAGAGAAAATTTGGTGCATCTCAACTCGGGGTTGTGGCCGGTGTTGGCTGATAATTCAAATACAAAAAAAGCAGTACTATTAAACGCTGGGGATGTCAACACTCGGTAGAGTTCCATACCCTGGCTACCACATTCAGATAAGCCCCCCTCCCCCTTAACTTGTATTTAAGAGCTTGTCTCTTGGATTTTTCCTCACTTGATACAGCAAATTTAGCTGTGATGGTCCCACCTGATCACGGAGACTTGTGTTGCCTCCGAAACGTCGTGATTTATTATTTTATATCTATTATTATGTCTATTATTTTTATTTTTACCTATGTGACTTTACCAAAAAAACCTAAGAGTATGAATCCTTGTATTACGAAAGCTTCAAATCTAGAATGAATGTTTTTGGATTATCTGCGGTTTTAATTATCTGCGGCTGTCCTCCCCGTCATTAGCGCGGATAATTGAAGGTCGACTGTAAGTACATACATTCATTCACAATAGATTTTTGAGTCAAATCAAGTCAGTAAAATATGTATCGTAGATCCTCCACGCTACAAATCCAATGGATAAAGTTGTCACGTGAACAAAAGTGGCCAATTTATTACCACTTCAGCACACGTGTGTGTTGGAGAGTGATCCACAAAAATGTAACAATTGGATATATTTCGCTGGAAGTTACAACCAGCATCATCAGGCAGTTTAGATTCATGGCAACTGTCTGATTGGGCCCGAAACTCAACTATGAATCCTATTGGTCACGAAAGCTTGGATGTTAGATTTATATATTGCATGCTGAAAATACACTCATGTCAGTCGCATCTACTTGGTTGCACAATGACCATCCACGAGGGTTCCTCAGCCACAAACTGAAACGTAGAGATCCTTTAGCGATCTTTCCCGAGCCTCTTATCGAACCTCTTTCTCACTTGCTGACCGGTGGAATTGTTAGAATCGTTTATTGTTTGCATAACCGGTAAATGAATAAAAACAACGGTATAGGCCGGTTTGCAGTTTGCCGCACGTATAGAAATATTTAGAGAACATCACGTGTTTGGATTTCTAGCTGAGTAACGAAGGGTTCTGCCGTAATAATAATTCCATCTATAAGGACCTCAGGCGCTATACAGGACACAGCAGCAGCATACACTCAAGATGAAGATAATTATATTATAAATACATTTAAGACTTGATTTGAAGCTTTCGTGACTGCAGGAATTACTCTTTAGTTCTTTCGGTAAAGTCACGTAGAAATAAAATAAATAATATAAGACGTTTTCATTGCAACATAAGCAACCGTCATCAGGTGTGAATGCAAGCTCGGAGAGAGACACATATACAGGGAGGGAGAGAGACAAACACAGACATGGAGAGAGACACATACACAGAGAGAGACAAACACAGACATGGAGAGAGACACATACACAGAGAGAGAGCTTGCAATCACTATCCATTTGCTTAAACACGTTAATATTATTGATCCTTGATCGTTTCTGCGTGGATTAAATATCGACCGTTCTATAGGCCTAGCCTTTTGCCCATCCAAGGACGGGTGTATTGCAGTAAATCTGAAACTTGCAAACGAAAAGCAGACCATGACAGGATATTCATTGCATTAATTCAGTGACACCAAGGCCGTAATTATACTGGTAGGAACGAAGTGGACCAGACCACCAATAGATTAATGTGTCCGTCCGTCCGTCCGTCCGTGGGAGGGGTGGTGTTGAGGGTGGTGTTGGAAATGAAAGACTACGAGTCTTTAAATCTCACAGCGTTTCTTGTCAAAACAAACACTTTTAATTAACGTTACACTAGAATACAGTAATTTTTTCTTTAACTCCTCTATACCCGGTCGATATCTCTGTACCGGTACTAAGTATTATTCCTACCAGCCCACCCCGCAGGGTCCTGTTAATATATATTATATACGAATAGCACGCACAAATACTCCTGCGAGACATGTAAACGGGCATCCTTCAGTTACCAGACCCGTGTGTGTTGTACTGTATTGTAAGTGTGTTGTTAGTGGTAGTGCTGTCGTTGTGCTAGAGCAGTAGTAGTGCTGTAGCTGTAGTAGTGCTGTAGTTGTGCTGTAGTTGTGGTAGTGCTGTAGTTGAGCTTGTAGCTGTAGTAGTGCTGAGTCTCGCACCCTCACACACGCTGCTGCTGTCCCCGTGTCGCTGCTGTCCACGCGACAGGCGGAGTCGGCGCTCTGCCCGCGGTGATTGGCAGTGGGCAGTGCCAGCAGCGAGTGGTGGTGATGGTGATGCTGTGGCTTGTAGTAGTATCACGTGATGCTGTGGCTTGTAGTAGTAGCACGTGATGCTGTGGCTTGTAGTAGTATCACGTGATGCTGTGGCTTGTAGTAGTAGCACGTGATGCTGTGGCTTGTAGTAGTAGCACGTGACGCTGTGGCTTGTAGTAGTAGCACGTGACGCTGTGGCTTGTAGTAGTAGCACGTGACGCTGTGGCTTGTAGTAGTATCACGTGATGCTGTGGCTTGTAGTAGTAGCACGTGATGCTGTGGCTTGTAGTAGTAGCACGTGACGCTGTGGCTTGTAGTAGTAGCACGTGATGCTATGGCTTGTAGTAGTAGCACGTGATGCTGTGGCTTGTAGTAGTAGCACGTGACGCTATGGCTTGTAGTAGTAGCACGTGATGCTGTGGCTTGTAGTAGTAGCACGTGATGCTATGGCTTGTAGTAGTATCACGTGACGCTGTGGCTTGTAGTAGTAGCACGTGACGCTGTGGCTTGTAGTAGTAGCACGTGACGCTATGGCTTGTAGTAGTAGCACGTGACGCTGTGGCTTGTAGTAGTAGCACGTGATGCTATGGCTTGTAGTAGTAGCACGTGATGCTGTGGCTTGTAGTAGTACCACGTGATGCTGTCTTGTAGTAGTACCACGTGATGCTGTGTCTTGTAGTAGTAGCACGCGATGCTGTGGCTTGTAGTAGTAGCACGTGACGATGTGGCTTGTAGTAGTAGCACGTGATGCTGTGGCTTGTAGTAGTACCACGTGATGCTGTGGCTTGTAGTAGTAGCACGTGACGCTGTGGCTTGTAGTAGTAGCACGTGACGCTGTGGCTTGTAGTAGTATCACGTGATGCTGTGGCTTGTAGTAGTACCACGTGATGCTGTGGCTTGTAGTAGTAGCACGTGATGCTGTGTATTGTAGTAGCTGTTGTGGCTGAGGCAGTAGTGACTATAGTAGTCGCTGTAGTGGTGGTGGTGTAGAGGTGGTTGTGGCTGTAGTAGTGGTGGTGCAGTAGTGGTGGTGTATTGGTGGTGGTGTAGTAGTGGTGGTGTAGTTGTAGTAGTGGTGTAGTTGTAATAGTGGTGTAGTTGTAATAATGGTGGTGTAGTTATGGTGGTGCTGTAGTGGTGGTGGTGTAGTAGTGGTGGTTGTGGTGGTTGTAGTGGTTGTGGTTGTAGTGGTTGTAGTTGTGGTGGTTGTAGTAGTTGTGGTGATGGTTGTGGTTGTAGTGGTTGTAGTTGTGATTGTGGTTGTAGTAGTTGTGGTTGTAGTAGTTGTGGTTGTATTTGTGGTGGTTGTGGTGTAGTAGTTGTGGTTGTAGTTGTGGTGGTGGTTGTAGTTATAGTAGTGGTGGTGGTTGTAGTTGTGATGGTTGTAGTAGTGGTGGTGTATTGGTTGTGGTTTTAGTTGTGGTGTAGTAGTTGTGGTGGTTGTGGTGTAGTAGTTGTGGTTGTAGTTGTGGTGGTTGTGGTGTAGTAGTTGTGGTGGTGGTTGTAGTTGTGGTGGTTGTAGTTGTGGTGGTTATAGTTGTGGTGGTAGTTGTGGTTGTATCGCAAGCGCCGACCTCTCACGCGCGGAGTCTCCGCCGCTTCTAATGACGTCACGGGGGTACCCGCGGCGCGCGCTCCCTCACGATGACGTCATCACAGCGCGCGCTAATTGCCCCCCCCCCACCACGCGGAGCGATTCTCGCGACGCGATTCCGATTCACCACAAATCGATTCCCCGGTCTGCACGAGTCGAGTGATGGTACAGTGTCCAGTGATTGTACAGTGGCACAGTGATTGTACAGTGCACAGTGATTGTACAGCGGTACAGTGATTGTACAGTGCACAGTGATTGTACAGTGGTACAGTGATTGTACAGTGATACAGTGGGGTTCGCGCTCATTGTGCGCACTGCGCTCGCCGTGCCAACCCACACGGCTCACCCCCCCCCCCCATTCTTGTGCAGGGGAATTGAGTTTGCGGCCCATACGACGTACAGCCGTCTCCATACGGGCAACGGCAAAATCAACATGGGTGTGCGTCCCCATGTCATAGTACATTCAAGTTGAGTTTAGTTACAGCTCCTGCCGCCCCCCCACCCCTCACCCGGTCGCGATGAGTGGCGGAGCCGCGGGGCCGTGCGCGGTGCGGAGCGCGTGGGGGGCCATGCGGGGCCCCCCTCTGTCTGCCGCGCTGCGGGTGGTGCGGGAGGAGGAGGAGGGCAGAGCGGGGGGCCGGGGTCCTGGGGACGGGTGAGTGGAGTCAGGGAGGGAGCCGTGGGGGGGGGGGGGCTCGGAGTGCAGAAGGGCGACTTGGGCCCAGCCCTCGTGGCTGGGTCATCGCCGTCCGCCCGAGTGGTTGGCGAGCTCACGCTGACGAACTTGTGCTGCTGAACGCGGCATTGTCAGCAGATTGTGACAGCGACGTTGCTGTTACAATCTGTCCTTGTGCAGGGAAACTGACGTTCCAATGCGGGCAACAACAACAACAGCAGCAACAAGAGTTTGTGTCTATTTGTTTGTGTTTCTCCCTTGTGATGAGACTTGGTCTACAATGAAGGCACTGGGTTGACAGGTCAGGTGTCACCCGGGATGTAATTTACTTTAATACAGCCTGAGTGCACTGCTGGTGAGACGCTCAATGTTGAAGCCGTCCCAGAGCGTTGCTGGCGTTAAAGCAGTCGCGTTGCTCGTTATGTTGAGCAGCCCCTGATGGAAGTCCACGCGGCTGATGTGATGATGTGATGTGTGAACACGTGGCTGTCCTGTCGAGGGGCTGCTATGCTGAGGAAGGAGGACGGAGTGCCTGGTTGAATGTGTGGCAATGGACTATGAGACATACAGAGAACTATAGAGAGACATTGGCGACAGGCCACTGCGAGTGTGACCATGCAACCAATACTATTACCATGTAGATACACAGAGATCCATAGACTCGTAGAGATACATAAAGACTCATAGAGACCCAGACCCATAGAGATGCATCGTGACCCATAGAGATGCATGAACGACAAGCCACAGTGATTTTTTTTTGTGGTCATGGACTCCGTGGACCACTGTAGTCTGTACTTCAACGGAGCAGGAACGGCAAACTACAACAACTCTGTCCTGAAGCCATCTGGTTGGGGCCACCAGAGCTTGACATGGGCATCTAACTCCTGGGGATACCGCTGCCATACGCAACCATGGGATAGAATGTATATTGTTACCGTGATGGAGGTTTAGTTTGTCCTTGTGTGTTTGTGCCGGTGAGTGTGTGTAAGTGTGTGAGTGAGTGTGTGTGAGTAAGTGTGTGTATGAGTGTGTGTGAAAGTGTGTGTGTGTAAGTGTGTGTGAGAGTGTGTGTGAGTGTGCAGCAGGCTGTGGAGCGGTAATGCCGAGGTTAGTGCGCTGCGCTACCAACCCGGCGACCCAAGTTCGATTCCCGCTCACGGCCAGCACTAGTGACGATTATCTGAAACGGTCCTGGGCCTCCTCCCCTAGGTCGATTCAGCCTCAAATGAGCACCTGGTGCGGTGTGTAAACATCGCCTATGGGGAGACAAAGGCAGCCGGGCGTGGCGTTGGCCACCCACCCCCTCGTGCGCTGTGCCGACCTTCATAGGTGCTCGCTACAGCACTTGCCCCAACAGTCTGTTCAGGCTATACAGGGGATCTTTGTCTTTGTATTGCAACAGGGTGGAGCTGGTGCGGCTGTGCAGGCCTTGTGGGGAGGAGCAGCAGCAGCAGCAGGGCAGCAGCAGTAGCAGCTGCACGGTGGAGCTGAGCTGCTCCGGCCACGAACTTTTGGTGGCGGCCGTGAGCCTGGAGAGCGAAGCGCGGACCGTGGAGCTGTATGCCGAGGGGGAGTACGTGGGGAGCGCGCGGGGCCAGCCCCTGCCCGGAGGAGGACCTTATCCTGACAAGTATGGAGGAGCCGGCTCCACCATGGTCCCTCCCCGGCACTCACACCCATGTCCACTCGAGTCAAATCAGTTTGACTCGAGTGTCATGGTGTGCGTCAGGGTAGTGACGCACACCGTGACACGCACCGTGACACGCACCGTGACGCACACCGTGACACATACCGTGATGCACCGTGACACACACCGTGACGCACTGTGATGCACCATGACACACCATGACACACCGTGACACATCATCATATTGTATGGTTTCCATTTGGCACGATTGGAAGTTTCGAATAGAATTCGGTGTTGATGTAACACATACCAGGTTTTCGTGGCCAATATGATTCATAATAGATGTTTGAGTGAGGAGAGATAATACAAATAAATGTAGCACTTAGATATAATCTCATGTTTTAAGATAAGTTCGTCACCCTATCGTGGTGAGCTGAAACAATTGGCACGTTACCATTCAGGTTTATTTTGTTTAACCTTGAGACCTGAAGAAACCGGGACGAGTCTGATGGGCGCGAGTTAAACACTTGTACCCTTGACAGTTTCATTTGAGGGTCTGACAATATACATTTGGCCAGATCATTCTTACGTGGCCTATCCCAAAAATATATTATGAATAACGACTCAGTGCTATTTATTTATATATCATAGTTGTATATTTTTTACTTCCACATATGCACAAATTCACAGGTGTCACTTTTTCATCACGTATGCGTACACAAAATGTATTATCTTAATAAAAAATAACCCCATTCTGCATCTTTCCGTCGTGTCGTCGCGCGCAGTGGTGAAGAGGTGAACCTGTACAAGACGCACATCTGCCTCGAGTTTCCATCGCCATCCTGCGAGCTCAAGGCAAGCAAAGCCCGTGACCATCGGCCGTGTCTCCACACACTCCACACTCTCCACATACTCCACCCACTCCCTAGGAGCTCCACACACTACACGCACTTCACCGAACTCCAAACACTCCACGCACTCCACACACTCTACACTCCACGTACTCCACGCACTCCACACACTCCACACACGTCACACTCCACACACTCCACACACTCCACACTCTCCACACTCTCCACACACTCCACGCACGACCGTCAGTCGCTCGGCCCGGCAGCTCCGTGGTGAGTGCCCGACTCAGAGCGGGAAGGCTGTGAGTTCAAACCACCAATTATTCCCTAAAATGGATCAAATGTAGACCGCTTTGCTAGATGACAATGGCATTTTTTTCAGAAGCGACCTGGCCACAAATTATAGCTGAACTAAGTGACTCATCACGTGGAAATTTATAGCAGACAAATACTCTGAATGCATTTTTCCAAATGTGGAGGTAAAAACCGGAGGACCCAAAGAAAAAAACACACGTCAGAGAGAGAGATGCAGACTCCAAATATACAGGCGTCATGGTTGGGATCGAACCCACGACCTCCTGTATGCTAGGCTCGGTAGTTAACATCTCGCCATCACGAGATGTTACCTCTGCCACGTGTTTATGGAATTTCCACCAGGTTGCTTGACCTTGTTAGCAGAATGAGTGCCACATCGTTGTTAGTTTGGGCACGGATTAACTTTAGGTTTGAAGTTTCCGCAGCATTGATACATATGTATTTTTTTCTACTTTATTCTGGAGTAACTGTGCGTGTGACTTCGTCACCAGCTGCTACTCAAGTCGCCGTCTGTCCGCCCGGTCTCCGTAGACCACAGAGGGGTCGATGAGCGAATTAGGTGTGGGGGTGTAACAGGAGGGTGAATGTCACCTGTGTGTGTGGCTATAACGCCGTATGTATGCATGTTGAACTTCTTTCACACCGTACATAGCCAACCGTCCTCGTCAAAGGTGCACTCACAGATTGTGACTATACCAACAAAGTAGGTTTTCGAAGCCAATATGATCCGTATTTGTTTCACAATTAGTTTCTTTTGGGCGAGATTGTGTCGGTGTAATGTCAGTTTTTTTTAAATCTATAACCCTCCACCACCCAACAGAGCAAATAAAATGCAGTTGTGACATGGGCAAATATACCAATTGATTTAGTTTTTCAGCAAAACCGGAGGAATAATAAAAAGCTGGATTTTTTTGTTATAATTAGAACAAATATATATTGTTTGGGTTAGGTCACATATTCTATGCCAAAATTACAAGAGTTTCGGCATAAACTACTATGTGGCCGCCCCAAACACAAACATAGATCTGTACAAACCGCTTGCTTGAGACCAAGTGGCAGCAGCAGCAGCAAACATGCAGCAGCAATTCTAGATTTGAAGCTTTCGTGACTGCAAGGATTCATATTCTTAGGTTTTTTCGGTAAAGTCACGTAGGTAAAACATTAAAATTAATAAAAGTAAAATAAAATAAAAATCACGACGTTTCGGAGGCAACACAAGTCTCCGTCATCAGGTGGGACCGTCACAGCCAGATTTTGCTGCATCAAGTGAGGCAATGATTCAAGATGTAATCCCTTAAAAGTAAGTTGAGGGGGGAGGAGAGGGGGGGGGGCTCATCAGAATGCTCATCAGAATGTGGTAGCCAATGAATGGAACGATACGTTCCATTCATTGGCTACCACATTCTGATGAGCTCCCCCCCCCCCTCTCCTCCCCCCTCAACTTACTTTTAAGGGATTACATCTTGAATCATTGCCTCACTTGATGCAGCAAATCTGGCTGTGACGGTCCCACCTGATGACAGAGACTTGGGTTGCCTCCGAAACGTCGTGATTTTTATTTTATTTTACTTTTATTAATTTTAATGTTTTACCTACGTGACTTTACCGAAAAAACCTAAGAATATGCAGCAGCAACACACACAACACCAACACCAGCAGCAGCATGCACAGTAGCAGCAGCAGCAGCACACACAACACCAACAGCAGCAGTAGCATGCGCAGCAGCAACAGCACGCACGACACCAACAGCAGCAGTAGCTTGCATAGCAGTAACAGCACGCACGACACCAACAGCAGCAGTAGCTTGCGTAACAGAAGCAGCAGACTGTAGAGTGGCAGTAGCAGCGGCTACAGTTCGGCTGATGAAGCCTTAACTGGCTTCCTCGGGCCTCGCCTGATAAACTTTAGGCTTCTTCAGGCTTAGTCGGGCCTGATGTTGATGGGAAGCAAGCTCTTTCTTCCAAAGTGATGTGAAACTCTGTCATTTGGGAATTATGAAAATAAAAAATCTGCTCCTTTATTCATAGCGTCAAGGTACAACAGTGAATTGGTGACATTTTTAAATGCATTTTAACACGGTCACCGCTGTTTTATTGTTCAGTTGATGTCACTGGGTGACAAGGAGTATGTGAGGATCAGAACCCTGACCGTGTTGGTTCGTGAGCGAGGGGCCCTGGGTGGAGCGGTGATGATTCCCGGTGTGACGCCCACGGTGGACATGGACAGGGTGTGCTCCATGATGGAGTCGATGGGAGCAACGCTGTCTCCAGGCGCACAGAGCCTCATGGGCCTGGTGCAGCAGCATCAGCAGGTGAGGGCGTCACATGCGTCTTGCTCTCCCGCATCTCTCCCGTGTCTCCTGCATCTCGTATGTCTCCTGTGTCTCTCCTGTGTCTCTCCTGTCTCCTCTTTGTGCCCTCGCATCTCTTCCATCACTCACTGCCCCAGCTACACTCTCACAGTGTTTCTGGGCAACCCTCAAACACTGAGCCCTGCTGTTAATGGGACACTTCCAGTCATAAGATGAATTTATCACGCGGTTTCTCCGATACACATTCCACACAGCGTGATGAAGAAGACTCTCTGTCGCCCATTATTCTAACAGCCGCAGTGTTAAGTCCCATTCAACGTCAGCTGCGCTATGTTTAGGAGAGCGACAAAAACCCCTTGCAGTTACGGACCACGTTTGACACCGAGGTGTCACTGACGCGTTTTCCCGTGTGCGCCACTGTACGCGCCCAAGTCGATGTGAATCTGTTTGTCCTGCTCCCAACAGAATCGGAAGGCTGCCGGCAGCACACTTCAGGGCATGCTCATGGCGGGATTCTGCTCCCCTCTCGGCGGGGTGGACGTTGCTTCCATGCTGAAGCTCGGCATGGCCGCCGCCAACGCAGCGGGCGCAACACGGGGCCCGGCCCTCGGTGGCGCCCTCCCCAGCGATGCGCTGAGTCGCTCTCTTCACGTGGCTCCGTCAGAAGATTGCCGCGAGCCGCCGGCACCAGGTTAGACGTCGCCACGTAAAAGCCGCGATCGTCGTTCGCTTAGTCGTAGGGCAAATCCAGTCGGTCTCCTTTATTTTAACCGGGAGGTGACGTGAACCCGCTGAAAGGCATGAAACAGCGTTGCCTCGTTTGTAAGCGCGACCCGAGTTACATCAAGAACGATTTAAGTACACCAATATGTTAAGAACATTTAAAAAATATCCCCCTCCACCTCACTTCGGTTGGCTACATACGGTGCGAAAGGAGTTCTACATACATACCCTCCCATCCTTCACCCCCTCCATCCCTCCCCTGTAAGATTTCAACAATGGACTCAGAAATAATTGATGCATTATGACGTGTTTATTGCTGAAAATGTACCCTGCGTCATAAAATGTTAATGAAGACAATATAAGAGGAAAAACAACTTTCAAGGAAACAGATAGAGACTGACATTTGCAATAATCAACTAAACCAAGTCCAAGGGCTTCTGAGTTGGGCTCCGTTTTGAGCGTTCCGTCATCGTCAGGAGCCGAAGTCAACTCGTGAAGACACACCCAGCACGTGGTCCCGTGGCACAAGCCTGATAGAGAAGCGACGCTCCGCATGCAGCGCGACCCGGACACAACGCGCCGGGGGTTACAGGCGGCCCGTGCAAGCTCACGCCCACCGTTACATTTAAATCCTGAGGTGTTTCCCCGCTCTTGTGCGTGCGGCTCGTATAGTGAGCCGGAAAGCGATTTACTTCAACGTTAATCCTTGACAAATGGTGCCCTCCAGCCAATGGCGAGCAGGCAGGCTCTGGCTCCCCGCGCCGCACTTTCCCTTCGCCAATCCTCCCTCTGCCATCGTCGGCGCTCCTCCTCCATCTCTTGTTTCCTCGTTTGCATTTTGCACCCTCGAACCCAGAAACTGATTCTCGCGTCGTGATCAAAGTGTAGGGAATGGCATACGCGTTCAAACCGATTTAACGATTTACTTGAAGAAAACTCGTTCGCAACGAAAAAGAGTCTTCTAAATATTCACCGATCACTTTGTTTTTTCAGGAGACAGGAATTCTCCGGCTCTTGCAGAAGGCGCCTCGGGAAGTACGAGGAGTGATAATGGCCCCGGCGCTAGCAACGGCACCCGGCCGTCGCCAAACGCCGCACAGGCACCAAGGAGCGACGCCAACGCGGCCTCGGCATGCCAGGCCTTGGCGAGCCATGCACATCAGCAGAGGTGTGTGTGGCACCGGTCTCCTGAGAGATGGGCGCGGGGGCCTCAGTTGTCATTGCTAGGGTTGCCCACTGCCCTCGCTTGACCCAGATATGGGAAGGGGGCGAATCGTCAGCTTATTTATTGCTTTCCTTCTAATCTTCACAACAGAGCTCATGGTTATTTTGTGTCGGATTATTTAGTTTTGTGATAAATTAGGATTCGTATCGATAACATTGGGAAGTTCACCGGCATAGGTCCAAGTAAGGCTGACTTCTGATTAGACACTAAATGTGGAAACCGGTCCAAAGTTTTGCCTGTGGAGAACCAATAACAACACCCCGCGGTGGCGAGATGTTGACTACCTCGCTTGGTATACAGGTCCTGTGTTCGATCCCGACCCTGACGCCTGTTGTATATTTCGAGTTTGTGTGTCTCTCCCTGTGGTCGTGTGGATTTTTCTCTGGGTCCTCTGGTTTTTTCCTCCACATTTAAAATCAAAATGTGTTTCGAGTATTTGGCTGCTATCATTTTCCACATGATAAGCCACTTTGTTGAGCTATCATATGTGGCCAGGTCACTCCTGAAAAAGAGATAAATAGCTCAGTGGGCCTTACCTGGTAAAATAAAAATAGTTTCATAATTTTTGAATACTTTAATTTGTGCACTTCCAGAAAGAGGCCGTGTGGCTGATGGGATGTGTAAAAATTACCTTTACTCCCTCTATGTAAACGTTGTACTCACATTGTAAATGTTGTGGGTTTTACTCCCTAACACACCGATGTTTGAACTAGTAACTAATTGGCGCATTTTGTTTACGTGACAAACCTTACTAGTTGGCTGTCGGGTGGTGGCGGGTTTAACGACACGTTTATATTTATGTAATCTAACCCAAAATAACCTTTATTATGAATAAAAATTTACAAGTTACATGGAGGGACAGATACGTGAAGAAAGAGGCATATTCTCTGCTTGCTCATTTGCTCTGTAAATGAGTGCATATTTGGTGAACTTTTACCGAAAGCAGCGATGCCATGTTTCTTGGTTGTGTATCAGCAGGAAGCGGTGCGTGGAGAATGAGGAGGGAGAGCCGGCTGATGCAGAAGCGACACCGAGAAGCCCTGGTCACTGGGATGACCCGGAGCGGACACGGGGGGACTCGAGAGACGGCAGCTCATTGGGGAAGTGGAGCGACGAAGCGAACGTAGGTGCCCGCCCGGTGTCGCAGCACAGGGAGGATCGCCGTCAGCAAGGACCGCCACCGGCGCCGGGCGGTGGCGCTGGCAGTGCGGAGGACGCACGCTCTCTGGAGAGGCTGCTGCTGGCCCGAGTGGAGGAGTCGGAGAGGAGACTGATGGGCTTCGTGGACCTGCGACTGCAGGCCCTGCAGGCCCACATTGATGCACAGTTCACGGCCGTTCGCCGGCTCATCATAGACAGCGTCGGTGCGCCCAAGGCAGCCGGAGAGACCCGGAGTGCGGGGTGGGACTCCGTTCCTAATTAAACATCTGTCACGGATTGTGCCACGGAGCCAACACAGTCGTGACTCAGACTGACGGATGTTTCTACGTATTGTGTGCATCCTAAAAAGTATCAAAGCCATCGATTTGCTTTGTGTATTCTTCCTCCCACGTGTCGACGGGTCACCGGTGATCTTGACACGTTTTCCCTGCTCAGGTGGCCGCTTGTCTCCGGGGCGTCTGTGAGAGCCAGTCGAGGCTGCAGGCATGACTCGGTGGAACAAAGTTGCCGTATTTTGGGGAATTAAGGTTTCTAGACCGGTGGACAAAAGCCCACCCCACGTCATTCACTGTTGCCAATGAGGCTATTCTAGTATATTGAGTTCTCGCCTGGTTGAACAAATAAACTTGAACTTCACCAAGGTATGTCTCCAAGTGAATATAAAACCACAAAGCCCCTTGTACACTTCAGGAAAAAAGCGTTGCAGCGGTTCCAAGTGAGCAGAGTACCTCCGGATATTGTAATTATCATGAAGCTTCAAATGAAGAGGATCCGACGGATATATTACAAAGGTGAACTTGTCAGGTGTGTAACTTCTTGGCGAGACTGCAGTGCCTATTTGTCAAAGTGCTTTGAGACGCGTATCCGGGAATCGGCGTTGCAGGCAGTTGTATCGTTCTCCAGGTCGCCTGTCACTATCTTGCTGGTGGGATGGTCAGGGCGATCTGCTGCTGCTCAAATTGAGCCTTGAGGCATTGGTGCTCATCTCTCGTTTACAGCCCTGAGCCAGTGGTGGAAATTCCACATTCCAATGGCAGGGTCGAGTCTTACCCATAGAGCAACCACCGTCGACTTACCCACAAAGTAAACCCTTAAATATATTCGCTGGATATATAATTTGCGGTTTTGCCTATTTGCGACGAATTTACCACGGTGCGACATGCACTTGCAGGGTTGCGTTTTAAAAATTCGTGGCTGTAGTTCGCGACAAGAAGTCGTGAGCCGCAGGAGAGCGGCGCGGATCGCGAGTGCGCGAAGTCGACCCAACGCCACAGCGCTCTCCCTCCCGTTCTGCCTCTGCCGCGCTGTTCACACGCAAGTGCTTTCCTTTACAATGCCTTGTAGTGACTGTACGCACCGCGTTATGCACTCCACGCACCGTGTTGCATAGTATGTGCACCGCATAACATACTGTGCGCACCGCGTTACCGTGAACCGTGGCCCCAAAGCGAAAAGTGACATCATTGAAGGTCAGTTTAATACCCTATATTATGAATTTATATTTGCACTTAGAAATGTTTCCGTTAATTATTTAAGGTAAATTAAATAACTACAATATATGTAATAATTAATATATACATGGTTTTTTGTTTACATTTAAATCTAATATGTTTGTGCCCAATAACCATATTTTCCTCAATCTTTTGAGTATTAATATTTGCAGATATATTTGCGCTGTTCCCCAGGAATGTATCCCCCGCAAATTTTAAAGGGTTTCCTATATTTATTTTATCGACTGCTGCGGTGGTGAGATGTTAACTCCCTCGCCTGGTATGGAGGAGGTTTAGGTTCGATCCCGATCCCGACGCCTGTGTAGTGAGTCCAACTGAGTCGCACACGTTGTCTTGGGAGTAACACGTTTGATTAAACTCTTAGCACAACATACTCCAGGCTATGAACACAACATACTCCAGGCTATTAACACAACACACTCTCGGGTGGTGACCACCCAACTAACCACGCTACGGCGGAACTAGACACGCTTCCACGCCAAGCTTGACGTGGATCCCCTGCCTCTCCAACAGTAAGAACCCCAAGCCCCTCTCAGGGCCCCCCTTATATCGGGCCGGGCTGGGGCTGGCTCCACCTCTCGCCCCGCCCACCTCGATCTCTCTCGCCCTTGCCCGAAGGCTCTCGAGAGTTCTTCTCATACCATGTGACCACCCATTGGCCCCCTCCACCGGTGGCCCCCTCCAGTATCATCCGGTCAAGTGTCCCCAGGTCAGCCAGAGTATCGTGCCCCCAACGTAACCCTAGCTGGCTGACGCTCTCTCGCTCTCTCAACGGGAGCCCGCCCCCACTTGGGCTGGTACTACACCCCGTGTCCGGGGTGTTCACACAACATGTCTCCCCGTCGTCGCGTGGAATCCTCCGGATTTTCCCTCCACATTTAGAAACATCCGTTTAGAGTATTTGGCTGCGATAAATTTCCACGTGATAAGCCAACTTCGTTGAGCTATCATTTGTGGCCAAATAATTTCTGAAAAAACTGTATAGCTCAGTGGGCCTTAAAAAGTTGAGTTTTTAGATGTAAACATCACAGCACTACTGCAATTCACAAAGTGCCCAGTGAGCTGATTGAAATGATTTACAGGGTGTGACAGTGCAGAGAGGTCATGAAGAATGCACTCGGAACCTGAGTGAATATTCTAAGGAGTAAGCTCATTATTCCGTGGGGTTCCGAAGGTGTTCGAAGGCGATAACGTCAAGGGCAGCTGCCCTCCCCCGATGTAAGACACGTGCCAAAGCAATTCATGGCCTAGCGCAGTTCGCAGAAACGGGAAAGCAACGCTCACAAGCCCCTGTGCTTGCTCGGGCCCATACTGTGCCGTGTCCCCGACAAATCTTGAGTATCTGGTATGACGTGTAAACATCGCCACTGAGGAGACAAAGTCGGTCGGGCGTGGTGCTGGCCACCCACCCCTGCGTGTATCGTGCCGGCCTGAAAAGGTGCCCGCTAACATCACTTGCCCCAAGAGTCTGTTAAGGCTACACGGGAGGTCTTTGTCTCTGCGTGATCCACCAACCCTCACACTGAAGTGCAGCTGTGGGGGCCGGCGTCCACTCCACCGCCCTCGCTGGGCAGGTGGGGCGCGACATCCGTCCCCTCTACTCCCCCCTCCACCGCGTCGATCGGCTCCCGCCGGGCCCCTGCCGACCGGGTGATCACCCCCCCCCCCCCCCCCCCGTGAGGGACACAGCTAAATTGCTGGCTCACCGCCGCACGGAGTTAGCCCACACTCACCCGTGCACACCACAGCCAAAGCTACGAAGCGGACAGCGGCACGCTAGCGCCCACAGCTGCGAGCGATTGCCTCTTAACACGCGGCGCGCTGCGGCTCCGCGATGACTCTGCCGTGTCCCCCACCACTCGCACTACGCGGCACGCAGCGGCCACAGCTGCGGCTCTGCCCTCACTCTCGCCGCGCGTCTGCCCATGCAGCCGCTCTACACAGGAATCACAGACACGACACCGATGCTTGCGAGCGGCTCAAGAAGGCAGGATGGCAGGGGGGGGGCAGTTTTGGCGACCAAGATGTTGAAGAAGAGTTTTGTCTTGAATGCCCCGGGTTCCCCTTTTCATCCCCCTCACTTCAACAACCCGGGGTCGCGTTATCCCGCGCGGCCAATCGTGCACCTACCTGTGAACCTCGCTCGTTTCCCTCCCCTTACACGGAGCATTGCGGCGGTTACTTCGGCGGCCTATTGTCTAATCACTCGTACTCATTCATTTCTGACTCAACCTATTTAATCTGGAAGGGCGTCCGGCTGGCGAATACACACCCTGCTAGTGGGTACTCAGTCTGGGGCCTGGGGAGGTCGTGGCACTGTGATCCCCTGACCTCATAGTCTGCTCTGCTCACTTAATACTTCACCCCAGCCCCCTCTCCGATGTCGTGCACGACTCATTGCGGCTGGCCCGGTGAACCTTTGTTAGCCCATACAATTTTAAGCCAATTTAGGGGCACCGCAATGTGACTTGTCCTGCGAGGGTCGGCCAATCTCCTGGCACCGGGACACCGCGGGACTTTCCTCCTAGGGACTCTTCGGATGAAAACCCGTTGTGCCAGGCGATCCCCCCAGGACACTCCGTGTGTGCGCTGCGTGTGTGTGCTCAGGGTGGGGGCCAGGGGGAAGTCGCGGCGCTTGCAGAGTTGCGCTGCGGTCGTGGCACCACACAGCAAAAGACATCCAGCCAAAAACTGCAACCTGGAAAGTTCGTCAACACGTTTAAAAACAGACAAAATGTATCTCAAGTTTCACAAACGATATGCTGCTAACCTAGAAATTGGCTCCTGCTGTAATGCCTTGCCTCCAATTGAGGCTGTGGTTCAGCATTGCTTTAAAGCAGCGGCAGCAGCGTCTGATGAAGAGAAGAACGCGTGTTGTGATAACAGCGATTTACAAACACACGGCATTGTAACACGCGACATTGTAACATACAGCGACGGCGCCACGGAGCTTGTAATCATTCAGGGAGTCGGTGGGTCGAAAATAAACTTTTCATACAGGACCCTACTGTTGAACCTTTAACAGTTTTAACCTCCCACGCCACCAATGGTCGACCATCAACTGAATCGGGACCGGGCGTGTGGTCGATACGGCCACCTGATGATACAAATGGCACCATCAAATATTCGGCGGCCTGCGAGTGTGCGGCCACGAATCCCAAACCATCGACCGCATCGTAAACACTCCGCTGCTGTCTTCAATCCTTTAAAGGAGGAATGGACAAGATACACTCTGCTGCTGGACAAACAAATGTCATCAACATGTGCATGCCCCTCGGGGTGTAGCAGTCCCTACCAGCCGCCAACAGAAAATCCGATCTTGCGCGAGCCGCCATGCTGAATGCAAGCCAAGGCCGTGGTGTCGAAGATCTGTCGATGCGTTCGCCCGGGCAATGTGTCCGAAGAGCCTTCTGGAACTGACCGTTTCATGCACTGCCGGGCATCCTGTGTGAAGGAGGGCCTCGGCATTGGTGATGTGTTCGCTGAAGTGGATGCGGAGTATCCATCCCAGGCACCACTGGTCAGTGACGCTGTAATTGACCATGTCTCTGAGCCATACAGTAGTACGGGAAGGATGTATGCGTTGTATAGTCGAATCTTTGTTGCTGTTGTAATACTGGAGCACCAGATGTGTCTGTATAGCTGTTTTGTGCACTCGCGTGCAATTGAGATTCGCCTTTTAATTTCTAACCCGCTACTTCCAGTGTGTTGAATAGCACAGCCGTGATAGGTGAACGATTTTACCAATTCAACATTGTTGCCCGATATTTTCACTTGAGGCCAGTTGTGCGGCTGCTCATTAGTGGTCTGTTATTTTTTCCCCCAGTTTATTTCCAGGCCAAATGGGAGGGCTTCACTATGCATGACCTCCAGGACTAGGAGTAAAACTTCAAGCATTTTAGCCAGCAAGGCAACATCATCTGCATAGTCCAATTCGGAGAACGCCGAATTGTCTAAGGCTACTCCCAGCAGACCTTTGTGGACCTGCGCTGCAGTGTCCAGTTCAGTAACAGGTTCGAGGCAATGGTACAGCCTCGCCTCACGCCGCTTTGGATACTGCACCACTCGGACAACTCTTCGTCTACACGAACGCAGCTGATTGTGTCTGTGTAGAGCTCCTTCATCTTCTGCGGATATCCAATGCTTGTGAAAAGTAGCCAAAGAGTTTTGCGGTCGACAGAGTTCAAAACAGCCTTGAGAGGCCAATGTGGTGATGCGGTCTATGGTGGAACGTCCAGGTGTGAAGCCGCTCTTTTCCATGCGACACGCTTCTAAAAGTACACTTTTTTCTCTTGCCAGTAAAATTGAGGCAAATCACTTTCCAGGGCAGGGGAAGTGGATAACAAGTCTGAAATGACATCTTTAAATCTGCCGTCATTCATCCAGAAGAAGAAGGGCCACTCGGTAGTTTAACCTCCATCACACGTCCCGGACACTTCCCTCGTAAGGCTCCCGCAATGAGCCTCTACACCGTACCTAGGCTTTCATGCCCATTCATCGTTATTTATTTTCATCTAGAACATCGTGTCGCTATGATGTC